CTTAAATCCGGGCCCCCTTCCGCTACCTATAATAAGTCACTACCTGTCGGAATTTTATTTTGATGTTTACCGATACCAAGTTCAAAGTACTTTGTCGCGACAGGAATGATTTCCTAGAATCCTAGACCTGTTAGTCAAATAAAAAGCTGCTTGGTCTGCTTTAGGGTACCTATTATCGAAAATCCGGGGGACATAATCTTTAAAATATTCGGAATAAACATTAATGTCTAAATATTTAATTTGGTAGTATTTTGCATGACTACAAAGTTTATATTACTGAGGCTCTTCCTATGGGGCCTCAGTATTGCATTCGTGCAGACGAAAAAATTTTCTGACGCCCATTTTTTAAAACTTTTTTTCATGTTTCTGATCATTCGGAGTCCGAAAATGAAAAAAAAAATGTTCGTCTGGTCGTCTGTGTGAATGTATGCCGGCACAATAACTCTAGAACGAAAGTTCTGATTGATTTGCGGTTTTGATTTTCTTGAATAATTACTTCTAACTTCCACAACCAAAAACTGTTATTTGTTTTTTTCATGAAAAAATTATATATCTACAATCTACATATACCTATATATTGTTGGGAAATTTTAAATTTATTAAGTAATATGTGTTAAGCATTCCAAACAAATGAAACACGGTACTAAGGTTTGGTATGTCTAAAGGGTTGCGACATACGATGAAGTTTACCTACAATACGAAATTATAATTAATGGATTCAATTTAAATATTTTATGACGAATAAAATGAAAATATTATTAAAAAAAAAACGCTTATATATTTTCTATAAATTGGTAGGCTTTGGCGACTACTATTTTAAATAAAAATGGCTATGTCGTATACCCCCTTAGATTTACGAGTCCTTCCCACTGGCAGCTATTGTTTGACAGGTCGTTTATTTTTAATTTTCATTTCATGTCGCCACCCAGACCTTCCTACTGAATTAATTGTCAATTAGAAGTCATATTTCAAGTCATCCCATATTGGGGTGACTTGAAATATGACGATTGACTTTTTTATCGAAAACTACACTATATAGAAACGGTTTTAATGTATCATTCTGTTCTTTAGGGTCGAAAGCGTTGGTGACTATTTTTACTTTGGTTGAAAGTTACATAGTAAGGTCGCAATTTATGTAAGTGTGTCAAAAATCTTATCAAGTCACCCCATTCTACGGTACCTAATAGATACAAAACGGCAAGCGACCGATTTGACATTTTTAGAATAAAGCCACTGGTACCATTGCAGTTACGCCACTAAAAACTTGTATTTGAAAACTTTAATAATAAATAAAAACGGTAATTTGCAGATATTAAAATTGGTATTTTGATTGTGCTCTAAAAATAACAAAAACACTGAGATAATCAATTATTCCGCATATAATGTAATCCACAATAATTGAGGACCTTGCTGCAAGAAGGGGGCAACTCCATTTTTGGTAACTTTTTTAAATAAAAAAGAACAATTTATAAAATTTTAACAATAATAAAACATTTTATTAATCAAATCAGGGTAATATATTTAGCTGTAATACATCTTTATTTGAAAGAAAAAATGGAAAAAACAATTGAAACCTCCTATTGGAGCAAAGTTAAAAAGAATATACTCTTTGTATACAAAGTAAAAAAATAATAATTTTTCTACACCCACATGGATATTAGCTTCTCTACGCATAGAATACAAAACGAAAAAGTATGCTATTGCCTTCAACTGAACGAATATATTTCATATCCATTCTAGATAGTGAGAACACTACAAAATAGTAGTTTGTGCAACAAGAGTGGATATGATGGCCATATCGCACGAAGACGAAATTTGAGCACGACACTGTCGGCGGAGTGTTCAATCGTCTGAGTGCGATGTGGACAATCCACTCGAGTTGTACAGTATATTTTTTCTACGACCCACTAACGAACATTTACAAATAAAAATATTTTTAGTTATTAAGACAAAATAAGTAATTTTAAAATAATTTATGACTTTTAATAATTTTTAAAATAAAATAAACAAAAAAAAGAAAAAAGTTCATTTTATTTTTCCCCATCCGAGAATAGAACTCGAGTGTTCCATATAGAAGGCAGGAACCCTGACCACAGGACCATTTACGCTTCGATTTTTTTTTGCTTTAATACTCGTAATTAAATTGACTTCATATAGTTTTATTTAAATTAACAAATTATTTATAAATAAAGACGAAATAAAAACAGAAATGCTATTATTTATCGATTTTGCCCAAGAATAACCCATTTTAATGTATGTTTAATCTCAATAACTAAAAAATATACTGACAATTAGTTTGACAGAATTTAAAATTTTAAAAATAATAGCGGTCGGTTGATCAAAATGTGAACGGTTTTTGGTGGTTTTCATTTTTTTGCAGTGTTCTCACTACCTAGAATGGATATGAAATATATTCGTTCAGTTGAAGGCAGTAGCTTACTTTTTCGTTTTGTAATCTGTGTGTAGATAAGCTAATATTCAAGTGGGTGTAGAAAAAAATTAAATCCACCAATCACCGTTCATATTTTGATCGATCGACTGCTATTATTTTAAAAATTTTAGATAAGTGACAATTTTATCAAACTAATTGTCAGTAGATTTTTTAGTTATAGCCGTGATTAGCAGTACATCGAATGTACACGAAATATTTGTACATCGGATGTATCCCCCATTATTTGTATCATAATTCTAACCTAACTTTATTTCAGATGATGGAGTGGAAGACTTAAGTATTTTTCTGTAGTATTTTATCAACCTTAGAAGCAAATTTTACATACATGAACAAATAATAATGCCGTGACAACAAGAAGAAGAAACAACGACTTCTCGTCCATACCTGGCTACGCCGACCGGCATAAACACCAACGGCCTGGACACAGCTCACCTACTCTGTCAAAAGGAGACCGAGGTACAAATAAAACGCGTACATCCGATGTACTGCTAGTCACTGTCTTTAGTTATTGAGATTAAACATACATTAAAATGAGTTACTATTGTGTAGAATCTATAAATAATAGCATTTCTGTTTTTATTTCGTCTATAATTGGAGGGTTCGGAAGCCATACAGTGCAAGTCAGTAGGTAAATGAAACTTTAGTATAACACAAATAAATACAAATGATTATTAGAACTTTATAACATTTTCTTTTATTGAAAAGTCATAAAGACAATTTTCTTGAAAATATAAAAAAATATAAATTTAAATAGTTTAAAAATTAACTTTGTATTAACACAAAAAATGTGACAAGTCATTTTTAGCAAAACGATGACTTACACTGATTGGCTTCTGATACCTCCAATTATAAATAATTTAATTACGAGTATTAAAGCAACCAAAATAAAAGAGTAGGTGGTCCTGTGGTCAGGGTTCTTGCCTTCTACACATTAGACTCGAGTTCGATTTACGGATGGGGAAAAATTAAATGAACTTTTTTTTTCGTTTGTTTTTTTAATTTAAAAATTATCAAAAATTATAAATTATTTTAAAATTAGTTATTTTGTCTTAATAACCTAAAATATTTTTTTATTTGTAAATTTTCGTTAGTGGGTCGTAGAAAAAATATACTGTGCAACTCGAGTGGATTGTCCACATCGCATATTTCGTCTTCGTGCGATATGGCCATCATATCCACTCTTGTTGCACAAACTACTATTGCCATTTATTATCACAGCTGCCTGGCTGTACCTTACATCAATAGATTAAGCTATCTATTTTTTACATGACATAAAATAACGGAAATTTTACCAAAAATGGAGCTACCCTAGGTTGGCAGATACAAGTTTTTTTGGCACCTAGGTTGTTTAGGTTTAAAAAAAACTTAAAATTGAAAATTCTACAATTTTAGGTTTTTTAGGTTTTTAAGATAAATATTACAAATTCACACTTTTACTCTTGGAAAAAAGGGTGTAAAAAACGATGAAAAAAGGGTGCAAAAAAGAGTGTAAAAAGGGTGCAAAAAAGGTCCAATAAGGTGCAAAAAGGGTGCAAAAAAAGGATGCAAAAAAGGGTGCAAAAAAGGGTGTATATAAAAACAAATGCACTTGTTCTTCTTCTTGATATTGATGACGGTGACAATTTAAAAAAATACCATTTATTTATTTTTCACTTTTTTTTTGTTTGCATAATATGATTTTTTTAATACATATAATAAAATTCTATTTTTCAAGTTTCCAAAATAATTTTTGACATATTAAATATTAAATATTAAAAATCTTAAAAACCATAAAACCTTACAAAAACCTTAAAAAGATTTTAAAAAAAAAACCTTAAAAACCTTTAAAAAATCTTGAAAAACTTAAAAAAACTTTAAAAACTTTTAAAAACCTTTAAAATTCTTTAAAAACCTTATGTTATGTTGAGAATGGGGTGTTAATACACTGCGACCTAAAAGATCCATTGTGCCCCCTTCTGTCGCCAATGCACTAAGGAAATAAAAACTTTAAAACTTTTTAAAACCTTTAAAACTTTTTAAAACCTTTAAAACTCTTTAAAAGGCTTCAAAATTCTTTAAAAACCTAAATAACCTAAAAACCTACTTTTATATTTTTATTTCTTAGGTTTTTCCAACCCTGAGCTACCCCCTTCTTGCAGCAAGGTCCACAATTAGTTTCTTTTATAATTATTATTAATTGATAAAAAAAAATAGAAAAACCCAAAAATCACACAAACCACACAAAGCACACTGATTAATTAAACACCTTATCCAAAAAATCGCACTTTCACTATTTTTTTTATAAATAAAAATTAAACCATCACCAAAATGGCATCACCAGCACTAATTATAACAACAACAATTTGAATAGAAAAATGATAAAAAATAACAAAACAGAAATGAACAAACGACCAGTGGCTTCCGTGTCACAGCGGAAAAAAGAGCCGCCCCACCAATCAACGTAAAACGGTCCGATGTACGCGCGTCAGGCCGTCCATTCTAATAGCCTACTTAGTTAAAGTGATTTCGACAATCAAGGCGAAGTGCCTACTTCGATTTATGAGATTACCTTTTTGAATTTGCAAATGTTTTCCATTTCTGGACGACGACGATGGCGTGTGCGGTGTCATTCAGACGGAGTGACGGTGTCAGTCGCGACGGCACGGCCACCGAGGAAATCGAAATTCGGTAACGCGTCGCGATTTTCCGATAGTCCGGGGGACAATTTTAATTTTTTTATAAATACACGGTGTTCCAAAATTAGAGGTAAATATTCTAATGGCGTATTATACAGATGAAAATAAGGCAGAAAGTTCTTATAAATATCCAAAAAACGCCTATTTGAAGAGATCCACTTGAAGATGGTTTTCCGACGATATTTTCGAAACCGGTACCGATAATTGCTTCAAATTATGGATTTCTCTTAAAATTGATATTCTGAATGTGACAACTAGTTCAAAAACTTTACCATTCTAACTGGAACGCCACAACTAGGGGAGAATGGTTTAAAAAATTTATAGAAATGTATATATCGTCTATATATTTTATTACGTTTGATACCATACTTATAAAATTGATAGTTTTTTTAGGAATATCGCTTCAAAGAACGACAGGCATAGTAAATTTAAACTTAATAGTCCAAAAATTTCAAGTTCTTTATTTGTAACTACAAAAACTAAGTAGGTCGTGAAAACAACAGTTTATAATATATCCAAGTCGTGTTATCGGCATCAACTGCTATGGTTATTATTATTAGCTTCGAAATACTGTTCAGAAAAAGTTGAAAATAGTACAATATAAATAGCGGAAGATTAACTGTAGGAGTTATATTACGATAAATTAAATGAATTTAAAATAAATAAACAACAGTCGTATTTTTCACTTTTCATATTTTTTCAAAATAAAAAAAAAAAGATTGCTTCCATCGGGATTTGAACGCGCGTCGTGACATGATCGCGACATGCAAGTTTATAAAGTTGAACACTTTATGAACTGAGCCTAATGCCACATGAATTATCTAACCTAATATGTATATTAACCAGAAAAAAGCAATAATAATGTAGTTACTTTAAAATTATTTTAATAATTTGTAAAAAATATATATGTAGGATCTAGATATAAAAACAATGTTAACAATTTAATCATTAACTCGATTTTACTATTAATATGGACATTACATATATCAAAATAAAAATTAGGCGTCTGACATATTTGACAGTTTATGCTTCTATTGTGAATTAAACTCGCGTCACGACATGGTCGCGATATGCTAAGTTGATAAAATTAAACACTCTATGAACTGAGTCATCACGCTGATGTCACATAAATTACCTAAGTAAATTTGTCCATTAACCGAAAAAAAAGAACAAAAATAATGTATAGTTTCTTTAAAATTATTTTAATAATTTGTTAAAAATAAACGTCTAGGATCTAGGTATAAAAAACAATGTTAACAATTTTATCTTCTAATCGATTTTACTGTTAATATGGACATTACAAATATATTAAAAGAGAAATTATGCATCTGACATATTTGACAGCTGATGCGGAAAGTAGATTCATATTCACACACGAGCGGAAAGTGGATTCTTATCCAGTCGGTGAAAATTGCGGCATCAAACGATCCATTAGCGTTACCATTATATCTACATCCTTTTAGGCCGTTTTCTGTCCATGTGCTCCACATTAATTGTTGAGCTCGTTAAACCAAATATGGCGGAAGGAGCTCTCCACCAGCATTTCCAGAAAACATAACATAAACAGGAACTTTCGACGCATTTCTAATGATTTCTGGGTATTTGCAGCCTTTTTTAACTTTCACCTTTTTTTCGGAATCGTTCACATGATTCGCTTTGTCAAAATTCCAAATATTGGAAGGTGGAACGCTCTCAGAGCAGATTCGTCTACGGCAGCTCTTGTTCTGTTTACATTGTGTGCAAAACCTCTGAGAAAGCCTTGGATGTCGCTTTAGAAATGATCTAATCCATTTTGGCCCAGGTAAAAAGTGATCGTAGGAAATATTTTAGTATATTTAAAACAGTTTATTATCTATAATTTATTAACACTAAATACTAACTAATTTATACCTCAATATTTATTTTCTATTTCAGCACTATTTATGTTTCACCCTTGTAATCTAATTTTATAACAATTCAAATGTCTATCTTCAACTGAACCACAGATGAACCACAACAGATGCGAAACCCGGCAAAAGATCAAAGGATTTTGAAATGAAATTTCTATGACCTTGGACTTTAAATGGGTATGGCACAGGTGTTGCCAATTTTAATTATTTTCAATCAGTCTTACTAAATATGACTTTCTTCTAAACATGCGTTTTTGATGCCAGGGTTGGTTTAGGTATTTAATGGTGTCATATAAAAAAATGTACACAACCGAAATGAATGATAAAAAACTTACCGGTAGATGCTGGTTCGTTCTCAAATATTAGGGTTTCACCACCTATGGAGGGAAAATAGAAGGGATAGAGAGGAAGGTGGTTATTATTAACACCCGAAATCGGCAAAAGAAATATCGAAAGAATATTAATAATTGTAAGACCGTAATCTATTCTTTTCACGTTCGAATTCAAGTCGCTACTGCCTTTAACATTTAGAAACTACGCGCAGGCACGCCTTCAGAACTGCAATGGTTCCTAATAGGTAGGCAACACTAATTGCCAAAACATCCTGCGGCCCCCGAAATTGAATTTATAATTCAAGCGAAATAACAAATACTAAACTTAAATAATTATTACTAACCATAAATATACAAAAAAAAAATATAATATCCACCCACATATTATACTAAGATACAAATTAATATAAATTTTTGACACAAAAAAAAATAACAACTATTTCTATTGAGTAGGAAGTGGACAGAGCTTCACTACTGGACGAGTATACGAATTGTTTTTTATTCGCACTCTAGCGACACGGATAACTCTGTCCTTGCCCGGATACACCTTTTCAATAATACCTATAGGCCATTGAAGTGGAGGTAGGTTTTCTTGTAACATTAGCACGATAGTACCTTCCTTAATAGGCAGGGTGGATGTATTCCATTTTTTGCGTTCTTGAAGAGTTGAAAGACATTCACTATGCCATCTTTTCCAAAAATGCTGAATCATCGATTCTAATAGTTTATATCTAGAAACCGGATGTATATTTTCGTTATAAGAAGTTTCCGCAGGGAAGGAGTTTAAAGGTGAACCATAGAGAAAATGGGCAGGGGTTAAAGCTATAGGATCATTAGGGTCATGATTTAATGAGCATAAAGGACGACTATTTAAAATAGCTTCAACTTGAGTCAACACTGTGTTGAACTCTTCGTAAGTCAAAATTTGCGTTCCAGTTACTCTAGATAAATGTAGTTTCATGCTGCGAATATTAGATTCCCAAAGGCCACCGAAATGGCTAGCCTTAGGAGGGTTATTGAGTAACTCAATTTTATTAAGATTCAATTCAATTTGAAAGGCATTGCGATACTCTTGGGAGGCTAAAAGGTTTTGTACCTCGTTAATTCGACCTTTAGCTCCGATAAAATTTGTTCCGCAATCGGAATAAAGTTTTAAACAATTACCTCTACGAGATATAAACCGTTTAAAGGCTGCTAAAAAGCAGTCAGTTGACAATGATGATGCGATTTCTAGGTGAATGGCCTTTGTAACAAAACAGATAAATATGCATACATAAGCCTTTTGACTTCTCACTCCTCGCTTGCGAAACATAGTGATAGGGTAGGCACCAGTGAAGTCAGCACCAGTTGTCAAAAAGGCTTTTAAATGATTAAAAATATTGCTGCTACCTAAAACGAAAGTTGCAGTAGAAAAGTGTACATCTACAGCTATGAATTCGAAGACATTTTATACGTGCCTTAAATGCCACCACGACGTATATTCTTCGTTTCACTCATGATTTATCTACAGAAGAAGACTAGCTACAAATACACAATATTTTTGTCCAAAAATGCACACAACGCAAAGCGTCACGACCGGTCCTGAATGTCACAGAAATGTCATCTCACTTACAGCATCCTAAGCAAGGTTGTCACATAAAAAATTAAAATTTCACGCGTTTTTAAAGTGTCTTTTGTATTATTTTATGTTTAGCGGATTTTAATTATGCGTTATTTGTATGTATCGTCTGTGGTAACTAAAAAATGTATGTACATTTTTATTTAACTTGAAGTGCAATGTCACATAACATCAGAAAATCTAGGAGCATCGACAACTTCGCATAATGAAATAGGGACCGTGCGTGAAATATAGAGGCAGCACTACTGCCGAACTTAGCCCTCTCTAGTGTTTAATTTTAGAATTAAATGGGGTAAACATTGCAAGTAAATAATGAAGGGTATTTTTTTAAATATTAAATATAGTTAAAAATAGATACCGGCCCGTACCAAACAATCGTGTACATGGTCAAAATGACGTAAAATGTGAAACATTATTAAAATCTGGACATGCATATACATTTTAAGCAAAAAGATTTAAATGGCTAAGTGACAATAAATTGTAAAGTTGTACCTTAAACAAGTGTATCCAATGCTAAAATATAGGTATTTAGTAACACTGAATTTAAAAGTATTACAATAACATTTAAAAAATGTAAATTAATAAAAAAGATTGATAATAATAATTATAAATCTTTTTAGCTTTATGTTAATCGAAATGTCATTCATCCACTGGCGTTTATGAGATGTTCAATGATACATATATTATAGATTGCTCACCCAACAAAAAAAAATTATGAAAAGCTGGTTGCAATGTGCCTTTCCTAGTGCTCACTAAATAGAGCCGTTCTAGCCCAAATGTGTTAAAATAAAATTTCAGCATTTTTAAGTTTTACTTCAAGACATGTCATTATGTATTTGGAAAGTTGAGTTTTCATGTAGTTAAATAATATTAAGAGATCTAAACAATTTTTATAACAGATGGATATAAATAATTTTAGACTACTATTTCAGAAACAATTCTACATAAAATACATAATTGCAATATGTAATACAATTTTGAAAAGGTAATGTAAACAATTTTGATATGAGGTATGAACAACTTTGGTAAGAGTTGTAATTGGACACTTATCTATTATTCTGAATAATGTTTAATGGTAATGTCACTAAAAAAATTTACAAAAAATCACTGGATTTTTAATATTTTAAAGTTTGTTACAATCTCTTTTGACAGTAATTGCAATGTATTATTTATGATTTGTTTATTTTAATAATAAATGAGAAATAGTTAATAAATTGTAAAGAGGGCCGTGATATTTTTGTCAAATTGGATATTCTTATTTCATAACATTCTACATTAGTTTTAATCAACAGAATAAACCATTATCTGTAAAATTATATTTATATAAAATGGTCATTTAAATATGTAAAAATCTTAATGACAAGAAAACACTAAAGATTTTAATTTTTCTGTAAATGATTTCTTTACAACTAAGTGCTCAAAATTGATACAAGCTAGATAAAAAGAAAACTTTGCCCAGTGAAATACGCTTTTCGTCGTCTGATTTACATATGGATAAGCAATCTTTGTAATTATGTATATCATTGGGTGTGAGGCATAATTGTGCTCTGTGGAAATTTATAAAATTTCTTTACTATCGAATGAAATCCAGGTTTCTAAAGTGATGTGTTTGTACATCCACGGATGCAACAAGTTTTTTCGATATTGATATTACGAAAATAATTCGACTTCATTTTATTAATAATTATTAAACAATAAATGCCGTATAAAATATTAATAAATACCCCCCAAAAAGTTCACATTTTTGTCACCAGTTAGCGTTAAAGTCATGACGCACGGTCCCTATAGCAGAGATAAAAAATATTTTCAACACTCTTCCTTTGATTTTACCCACTAAGGAGAAAGTCATCCTTATTAAGACTCTCGGCAATAAATGGAAATTCTCGACGCCAGTCTCTAATGATGTCTGATTGCTAAACCAACTTCTATCGAACTCAATTAGGCGGGTTGAGCATGAGTAAATATTCAACGAGCGAAAGTGGTGTCGCCATCTATACTTAGTAAGCAAAATCAAAAATTACATCTAGTGGATATCCACCATGGTTTGCGTTCGCGCCTAGACTTTGATATATTTAGTGGATGTCCATGGGATATTGAATACACCTTAAAAAAATTAATTTTAAATATCTGAACGCTACTATTAGCCACAATGGCGAGCACAATGGCGTAATTTATTAATAATTTGCTATATAATTACTATTATTTATGAACATTTGCATGTCTATAAATTACATCTCATGGATATAAAATAGATATCCACCATGGACTGGACATTCAGTGGATATTGGGATGTCCAGTAGATATCCAAAGGATTTGGTGTGTTGTCTGGGTCTATGGTAGAAATGAAGGTTAGAGATTTATATACCTTCTATATACTTCAAAGTGCTGACCGATACTTTCTTGCCTGTATTGTTTCACCTATTGGAACGTTATAACGTAGGTCTGGCGGTCGCCGACTCTCGCACTATTACTTTTGGCACCAGACTAAATCAGTCGTTGCATGTTTCACGCCGTCTGTAACCATGACTACCTATTTTATTGATTTATGATGCTCTTTTATATTTTTGTCTCTTCCGACAGATACATAACACTCAATCATTAAATTTTATTACATTTTCATGAGCTATATATCGTCATATCACTTCTCATATCGATTATGTACATAGGTAGGTACCCACCTACCTAATTTATTTCAATATTTTAATTTCGAGATACCTACCTACTTATTAAATAAGTGGTGATAAACAAAAATCTTGAAATTAGGCACGTTCTGTGTTTTGTAAATATCTTTGAATAGATAAAATAATTAGGTATAAGATAATAATTTTGAATTTTGTATTTTTTTAAATAAAATATTTTGGATCAAATTTTAATTTTAAATATTTACATAGGTACTTTAAAGATGCCGGTTAAGTAGATACCTACACTGAATCTAAATGATCAATTTTCCAATATGTTTTAACATTTCTTCAAACATGGATTGTAGAAGTTATTTATAATAACACAAAATTGATATTCAGTTTGTTTTTATTTACAAAAATGAATATATTGACTGAAAATGGTAGCCTAAAACGTACACGCCATCTATATGTAAATAACTAAACTTATTTCTAATAGACGTTGAGTAATAGAATGGTAGTAGATGACGATATTTGCCAATGTAAGTGAAGATATAAAAAAATGTTAACTTTTTATATTATTTATTAAACATTTAAACTGGATTTATTATAATTTATAATTGATTTTAATAATTATTTAGAATTTGAAGCATGTGACATCGAAACTGATCGAAATCTGAATATCGATGTACCTTATAAAAGTATCGATGCCCAACATCGATATGTCGCAACATCAATTTAATCTTAATCATTGCCTATTTAAAAGTACAAAAAATATAATACCGTAGGTACAAAGGAAAAATAAATATTGATATTACTTCAACGATAGAAAAATGAACATTGGTAATTAAAATACCATGTTTCGTTAATCGAATACCGATATATCGATATCTCAACTGAAGGTTGTGATGTACTCTACCGGCGAAAAGCGAAAACGTTTGCTTCCAATTTAGATAGAATTTCGCGATTTAAAGAACAGATGGCGCATATTTCCATGGGGCCCTCGGTCCCCCATTTGCCTTTTTATCATTGTTGAGAAGAATTAATACAATTAATACGATCTTTTATAATCGTTCGACTCGTGTCTCGTTTATAATTATTTTAATGAAGTGTTGTTATGAACGGCATGCTACCTAGTTTTACGCCGCCGGTGGTCAAACGGTTGTTAGGTTGGAAAAAAGGTACGGACGCCGACGACAAATGGTGCGAAAAGGCAGTCAAAAGTCTGGTGAATAAATTGAAAAAATCCGGCGCGCTAGAAGAGCTAGAACGTGCGATTTCCTCGCAAAACCACAACACCAAGTGCGTGACGATACCCAGGGCCAGACCCAACGCCGATATAGGCAATTTGCAGCAGCAAAGGAAGGGACTACCCCATGTTATTTATTGTCGGCTGTGGAGATGGCCGGATTTGCAATCCCAGCACGAATTACGCTCTTTGGAGCACTGTGAATATGGTTTTGCGTTGAAAAAGGAGGAAGTTTGCGTGAATCCTTATCACTATACCAGAATCGAAACTCCGACACTACCCGCAATATTAGTACCTCGTCATTCTTTGAATGATGAAAATACGTTGTTTCAACATTCGCTCGAAGACTTGAGTACTTCGGTACCGGAAAATACCTCGTTTCCTCACCATAACACTAACACTTTGGGTTTACACCTACAGCATCCGGGTAATTACATGGAGACTGTAGGGATTTGCCCCAATGGTACTACCACAGGTACGTGCAGATCTTTATTAACAAACCAGTCGGAGTGAATTGAGATTTAACTAATTTTAACAGGATTGTTTTTAATATGAATATGACACTTTTAGTTCAGATATGAAGAAAAACTCATAATTAACATTGCAACCCTTCAGATTAGGTAAAGAGAGAGAGAGAGCTGTCACACTAGAATGAGGGAAACAACTGCTAAATTGAGAAGGGATTGCGTATTTCAACTATGATAGTTTCAACAAGAAAAATACATTAAACGAAGAATAACTGACATTAAGAATGCAAATATACTCCCTTAATGTAATTTTGAAAGCCTTTTTTTGCATTTCAGAGCCTTATGTTTAGTCAATTCTGAATTATAACCATAAACAATCCTTGTAATAAGATTCTCCCATACTCTCTCATAAAAATTTGACAGATATGTGGATACCATAGTTAATGCTTGCAATTCAATTTTTTTGAATAAAATTAGTCTAGTAGTTGTTCGTCGTTGTTCATATACTACTTCTATTGCCATATCTTCATACCTGAATGCAATGTAATAATAACTGAACTTTCTATGTACCTTTTATATCAACAAAAGCTTTGGGACAGATGAAATTACACCCATTCTTTAATTTTTTTTATAATATTCATATTTCCAGTTTGTGTATTTGTAGATTAACTAGTTTTTGGAAAGCAGAGTTGCCACCCAAATGTATTTGGACATGTGAGACTGACACCCAAAAAACATGTGAAATTTAATTAATCAAATTATGTAGCTTTAAGTATACAAAAAGGAGCTATCATAAATACGTTATATCACAAAAGTATGAAGCAATAAATAAAATATATTTAAGTATATTTCTAGTTTCTGTCATTTATTTTTCAATACAACTATTTAAAAAAGAATAATTTTGAATAAAATTTTTATGTAAAATAAACTACAATTAATAAACATTTTATTTTTCTTGTATATATATGACCATATTCTGGTACATACTAAGGAGTTGTGTTTGCTGTGTTTGAATATCCACATCTGATGTCTTTTTACATCTGGATCATTTGTTTTTCCACATTGGACACTTCTACTATATCTGTGTTTGTTTATCCAAGATATAGCTGTCCAGATTATATTTTCTACATCTCTGTTTGAAATGAGATGTATTGGGGATTATCAAACTTATCATTTATTTTTTGTTGGATTCGTTCCATGTCAGGTTTTATTACAGGTTTATCAATTTATCCTTTATTTATGCTACAGTTGCCAATCTGATGGTCTATCAATAAAATATTTTTACATTTTATGAAAATATGCAAGTTGAAACAACATATTCTAATTTTAGTAAAGCTTTTGACAATGTAAATCAAACTTTATTACTATTTAAATTAAAAAATCTTGGACTTTTCTAACTTGGCTTGAAAGCTATTAAAAACAAAGTTTAAATGGTGAGGATAGATGGTAGTCTGTTCATCCAATATGACGTACAAGGTTCCAATTTGGGACCATTATTGTTTGTACTACATATCAATGATATTGAAGATATTTTCCAATATAGTAGTTTTGCTGATGACCTAAAGATATGTGTTCCCATTAATAGTGTCAATGATTATTATCTGTTACAAAATGATATTAGGCTATGAATAACTGTATGTCCCATATCAACAACTGTTACACAATTACTTTTGGTTGAGAATATGACAAGATTGTATGTGTTAACAAGATAAAAGATTTAGGGCTGCTCTTGGATCGACATCTATCATTTGTTCCTCATCCACATTCAAATTCTTTATTGGTGCCAGGGACATCACAACATATATTTTTATGACAATTTACATTTAATATACATTGCGATGTATAACACAAGTTAAGAAAAAGAAACATATTTTATGTCGTACCAACCATATTGCATGACTAGGAAGTCTTACTGATACAAACGTTGCATTTGCTATTACTGCAGGGAAACCTAGCAAAACCCACAGTACTATTATTAAATTGATACTACTAGACAACAAAATATATATTTCACTAATTAATCAACTCACACAATAAATAAAACTTTCCACTTTGGGTTTTGTCTTAAAAAAAGCTCGAACAACCTCTCATTGAATTCCATTAAGTAAGGTCAGTGTTGGAATAAGTGTTGTCCTGTAGAGAGGATGGATAGAATGGCTTCACTTAGGCATGCACCCTCGGGGTGGTAGAAGTCCACCAAATGGCCACTTCCCAAAAATGGGGCATTTAGAGACACTTATTGGCATTGATATTAACCTGTAGGAATTTGACCTGAGAGGTTGGCTATTCCTAGGCACCAGTAGGTTTTTTGATGAGTTAACCTGCAGGACTTTGATGAGCTGAGGCTGTCTGTAGACACCTCTTAGGGTCAACCAGCAGGTTTTTGATGATCTGAGACTGTCTGTAGACACGCCTTAGGGTCAACCAGCAGGTTTTTGACTAGTTGAGAACCTTCAGGACTTGGTTGAACTGGGAAGATGGCTGTCTCTAGACACCTATCAGTGTCAACAAGCAGGTCTTGACAAGTCCCCTGGAGGATGCACAATGGGCCTTATAAGAACTAAATCTCCCACCTTACATATGCCTGTTTGGTCTCCATTTTATGATGTACATATTAAGTCATTAGAGTCTGTTGAGCATACATTTCTGAGATATTGTGCATTCCTTTCAGGATTAGTATTAAATAACTATTATTATAATGTTAAATTAACTTTAATAGATTTTTAATGTCTAGAATTTCAAAGGGGTACACTATATTTATTATTTTTGTATAAGTAATTATTTCAGGATCTATTAATTTCTTTGAACTTTTAGAATCCATTCAATTTAGAGTACCAGTAAGACATTATCCTCCAAATGATTTATTCTTCATTCCATTTCACAGAATTAACTAATTGTGGCTTATTTAATTTGGATAGTCTGGATACGTCTTTCAATATCTTTAGAAAAGCTGCAATAAATAGACTTTTGATACTTTGAATATTTTCATTCTGTCCTAATAATTTTTATTGATATTTGATATTTTATAATAAAAAAATATTTACCATTTGACTGTGTTACAAAAATTAAATATATACTGATAATGAACCGCTGCTCCAACCTTAGATAGTTTTTCAATCTGTTACTCATCAGGTATGGAATCGCCCCCTCACAGCGTAGTACCGCCGACAGAGACGCCCCCGCCAGGTTACATGTCCGAGGACGGCGATCCCATCGACATGAACGACAACATGAATATATCCAGGATGAGTCCTGTCGATGCCCAGCCAGTGCTCTATTGCGAACCGGCCTTTTGGTGCAGTATTAGCTATTACGAACTCAACACGAGAGTGGGGGAAACGTTTCACGCCAGCCAACCGTCGATAACCGTGGACGGGTTCACGGATCCCAGTAACTCAGAGAGGTTCTGTTTGGGGTTGCTGTCAAACGTCAATAGGAATACGGTGGTTGAGCAAACGAGGAGGCATATTGGAAAAGGTGTAAGACTGTATTATATAGGTATGTATATGCGGTGATGAGGCATATGTTTTTGTCTAAAATTATATTTGTTTTTTTTTTTCAATTTATTTATATTTTTCCCGGGTTAGGAGAATTTTTTAAATGATTTAGATCATTTTTCTAAATTATGACGATATTTTCCTGTACTATTTTTTATATATTTTCGTTATGAACCATTTTACCAAACTGTAATAATGTTTCCCGTATTATACAATTTTTTTTTTTGATAATAGGTTTCTCGTTTTTAAAAAAAAAATTCAATTATTAGAAAATTTAGAGAATTTTTCTTCGTTTTCTAAATTATGGTGACATTTTCCTGTACTATCTTTTAATCTATTAGACGATTTGCATTTTTGTTGAAGGTATAAAAAATATAAAAACTTTTCATGGTCTATGAGAATTTATTCTTTTAAATATCGAGTTTGATAAATTTAGTATGATATAACATTTAAATAAATTTTCTACATATTCTAAATTTAGGCGTGATTTTCCTGTACTATTTATTAATTATTAGACGATTATGCATTTTAGTCTTAAGTATTTTAATTTCAAACAAATTATCTTGTACCCTTTTCTTATGAAACAATATTATGAACAATTTGACTAGACTATAAAAAGTTTATAACGAGTTTGATAAATTTGGTAGTTTAGATATTTTTTAATTTTTAGAAAATTAAATAATTTTTCTACATTTTATAAATTTAGAACAGTTTTTCTTGTACTATTTTTTTTTTATTAATAGTCGATTTGTATTTCAAACAAATTTTGGTGCTTTTTTACATATTTATTTTATTAATCATTTTAGTAAACTATAACGTTTGCCGGACTATGAGCATTTTTGTTTCTGAAAATTTTGGTATTCAAGATTTTTCTCCAATTATTAGAACATTTAGGTAATTTTTCTTCATTTTCAAAATTCTGCCAATATTTTCTTGTACTATTTTTTGTACTTTTGTCATTGGTATTGTAATTTAAAATGAATTTTCTTGTACTATTTTGGTACTTTTTTTACATATCCATTTTATGAACCATTTTACTAACCAAACGGTTCCCGTGCAATAAGATTTTTTTAGTCAATAGGTTTTCCTGGTTTTTGCATAAAGTGGGTATTCAAGTTTATTTTCTTTAATTTTTAAAATATTTAGATAACTTTTCTTCATTTTCTAAATTATGGCGAGATATTTGGCATAGATATTCTAATTTCAAACTTATTTTCTTATATATCTATTTTATTGATCCATTTTACTAGAATATTAGAATTCTTCCTGATCTATGAGAATGTTTTCCTTTAGGTAATCAGTTTTTCTAAGTTTGATACATTTTCTAAATTTATGCTAAATTTTCCTGTACTATTTTTTTTATTTTTAGACGATTTGTATTTTAGTCGTCGGTATTGTAATTTCTTTGAATTTTCCTATACTGTTTTGGTGCTTTTTTTACATATTCATTTTATGAATCATTTTTGTAAACTAAAGTTTCCCAGACTATGTAAATTTTTTTGAGTAATGGAGTTGTCTATTTGAAAAACATTTTCGTATTTAAGTTTTTTCTCTAATTTTTAGAACATTTAGGTCACTTTTCTATATTTTCTAAATGCTGGCGATATGTTCCTTTACTATGATGGTGGGTGAGGTTTTCCGGGTTTTCCTCACCTGTAAGTCAAATGGCACCATCAATCATCTTTAAGTCGCCCCGGAGCGCCACGGCAAATAATAATAATAATAACCGTCCCTTTCCCCGCACAAGCTCAGCTTTTGGGGTTAAAATTTACTCGTAAGGGGGTGAATTAGGGAGAGTATTATTATTATTAATATTTTTTGTATCTTTACGTTGGTAATGTAATTTCAAATAAATTTTTCTGTACTATTTTGATACTTTTTTACATATTCATATTATGAACCATTTGACTAAATTAACGGTTCCCAAACTATAAGAATTTTTTAGGTACTCATTTTTGAAAAATTTGACATGCACATTTTTCTCTGTTTTTTTTTAGAATTATATAACTTGATTTTCTAAATTTTTTCTTGATTTTCCTGTACTTTTTTTTTAACTCTATTAGATGATTTGCATTTTTTGAGTATGTATTTTAATTTCTAACGAATTTTTTTGTACCCTTTTCTGATATATCAATTTTTATTAACCATTTTACTAGGACTCTTGAGAAATTTTCATATTCTGTGAGAATTTTTTCTTTTAAATATCGAGTTTTTCCAAGTTCGATAAATTTGGTGTTCAAGCTATTTTCTTCAATTTAAATAATTTTTTTTTCTAAATTTGGGCGAGAATTTCCTGTTATGTTCTTTTTTCCTGTTTTTGAAAAATTTGTTATTCAAGTTTTTTCTATAATTCTTAGAACATTTAGATTACTTTTCTCCATTTTCTAAATTATGGCGATATTTTCCTGAACTATTTGTTTTAATCTATTAGATCATCTAATTTAGATGATTTACAATTTTAGCCCATTTAAGGTATTTTCATCAATTTTTGAACTTTTAAATAAATTTTATAGTTTTTAAATTTAGACGAAATTTTCCTGTACTATTTATTGTATTGTAATTTCATATAATTTTCCTCTAGTTACCATTTTTTTTAGTCAATGTGTTTTCCCGTTTTTGCATAAATTTGGTATTCAAGTTTATTTTCTTTAATTTTTAGAACCTTTTTTTAATTTTCTAAATTATGGCGACCTTTTCCTGTAATATTTTTTGCATTTTTGGCGCAGTTGTCCTAATTTCAAACCTATTTTCTTACACATACATTTTTATTAACAATTTTACTGGACTATAAGATTTTTCCTGGTCTATGAGACTTTTTTGTAATGAGTTTGATACCTTTCCTTAATTTATGCTAGATTTTTCTGTACTCTTTTTTTGCTTGTATTTTTATCATTGGTATTGTAGTATCAAAATAGACTATTTTGTATTGGTATTGTAATTTCAAATTTTCTATACCATTTTTGTGTTTTTTTTTATATATATTTTCTTTTTACTAAATTAACATTTCTCGAACTATGAATTTTTTTTTGATTTAACTGTCTTTAAAAAAAAATTCTTCATTTTCTAAATTATATCGAGTTTTCCTATACTATTTTTTCGAATCTATTTGATTATTTGCGTTTTTGTCCATTTTGATGGATCATTTTACTAGATAATAAAAATTTGGTTTCAAGGTGTTTTCTTCAATTTTTAAAACGTAATTTAGAAGAGATTTTTCTATACTATAATTTTTACTATTTGGCGATTTTATTTTCATCATTGGTATGGAAATTTTTTGAAAAATTTGGTATTTAAATTATTTTTTCTAATATTTTGAACATTTACATCATTTTGCTGGGGATTTTCCCAAACTAAAATGTGCAAACACATTAATAATAATAATAATAATAATGTTTATTCATTTAAAAAATAAAAATATTACATATTTTTGTATTTTGAATATTTTTTTCATTATATTGATATTAAAGGAGTCGAATAAACCCATTTATGTCCTTGTAGGATGCGCATGGGTATTCCACTGCTTTATATCATAATAAAATTACAATAATAAATGACAAATTTTAAAACAGATGTGCACACTTAAAAAAAAATTATAATTACATTATATATAAAATATTTTTAATAGAGCTTAAATGTGTAAGATTGTTAAATATTTTTGTATTATATCGCTTCGCAATTTCAGATCCGACTACTAATCACTCAAAAATTGCATGAATTAAAGTTAATTGAGTATTTAATAAAAATTTTTTGATAATTTGCTTGAATAAATGTTTTGAGTTTATCGTCAATAAATACAATTTGTACATATCTGGAATAAAGTTGTAAATTTTACTTATTAAGAAATTAAAATGTCTTTGTCCAATTGATTTATTTGCCAAGTAAGTTTGCACATGACCTTGTTGTTTAATTCTGGTGTTATATTTATGATTAATTTTTTTAAAAATGTTTTTATTTTTATAAGTGTACATAAGTGATGTGTAAACATATAACTGTTTGATATCAAATATATTTATTTCAGAGAAAAGGGCATCCGACGGATATCGAGTTTTTTTATTGTGTATAATTTTTAATATTCTCTTTTGTAGTATTTCTAATTTGTTTGTGTGATTCTTTGTTGTAGCGCCCCACGATAAGATTAATAATATTACTTGTACCTGCAACCGTTTTCTAAGCAGTTTTGTCGAAATCAGTCTCATTGTTAATATGTTTACAGCTATCGAATTTTTTTGCACTGATCTTTTAATTATTACTACTTTGTCACTTAATTTATCTTCTACTAAGTTTACCTATTAAAATATAACTTCTCAAATTTCACTTATTAAAACATAATTTCTTCGTTTCTTTTTTCTAGGTGGCGAAGTATTTGCCGAATGCCTGAGCGATTCGAGCATATTCGCGCAATCGCCCAACTGCAACCAGCGCTACGGCTGGCATCCCGCCACCGTTTGCAAAATCCCTCCCGGTTGCAATTTAAAAATCTTCAACAACCAAGAGTTTGCCGCTCTCCTATCGCAGTCCGTCAGCCAGGGCTTCGAAGCCGTCTACCAGCTGACCAGAATGTGCACCATCCGAATGTCCTTCGTCAAGGGTTGGGGGGCTGAATATAGAAGGCAGACGGTTACCTCCACGCCTTGTTGGATAGAGCTTCACTTAAACGGACCGCTGCAGTGGCTGGATCGCGTCTTGACCCAAATGGGTTCGCCTAGGTTACCGTGTAGTTCTATGTCATAGATATTTGTGAGATTTTCCACACAGGGTGGTTCTTCGAAGTCTCGTTGTTGTTTGTTCTTCTTCTTGGATTACAATCGGGGAAGAATTGTCCTGTATAAACTTTTACCGTAGGTTTATGCAGAAAATAAAATTTTGTTTGGCAATGACTTACATTAGAAAGTTTTTCAACTATTTTTCTTTTTGCTGTGAGTTTTGTTGTGGAGATAATTTAAGTTTAAACTTGGAATATAAAAAAATCGTTTGAATACGTAACATTGGGATTTATTAGGCTGGCCGTAGACGGTAAGGAAACTTTGACATCGGCGTGACAGATGTCAAGTGTTTTAACGTTTTTTTGGCATATCTGTTGAATGTTTTGTTTGTTATAACGTTGTACTGCTTTCTGGAAAAGCATTCACACACTTTTAGATGATTTTATTATATATTTTTGAGTTAAAATAAACGTTGGGCGCCAAATGTGTAACGTTATTTAGTTGTTTTCTATTTTATTTGTTGTAGTGATAATGCGAATGAATGGAAAGTTTTCTTATTAAAATTTTCAGTTTTTGTAAGATTGTTAAGTTTCCTATACTGTTTGCGTATTCCTAAAATGCAAAACTGATAAAAAATCTAAATTTATACTGTTAAAAACAGTAGTGTTGATTTATTTTCTGTATAAACGCCTTTTTGACTTTTTATGTTATTTCCTAGATATGTCATATTTATAAAAATGGCGGTACAATTGCCAAATATTCAGCTGACAAGTTTCTAAATTGGATAGTATTGATTTGTTTTATATAAAAATGTTATGACAGCATTTTTAATTTGCATTTACTCGGCACGCATGCGTGATGGATTTAAAATAAAATGTCGGTTATTTGACATTTGACAGGTTTGTCGTTCGTAATTCGACTTCGGTGCTTTAAATTTTTTTTTTAAGTAATAATTTTTGAAGTGAAAAGTAATTAACTAACTCGTTATCGGTTTGTTTGACAGAATGTGCCGTGGTTTTTTGTAATCGGCATCTTGTGTAATTTCAAGTTTTTAAATTTTATTACATTATTTTTAAGTATATTTGCTGTATTTCACTAAAAATGGAGAATAAAAAATACACAAAAGATTTTAACTGGACGTTTTGTTTTTTAATTAAAAAATTCCTGAACTGTCTTAACATTTTATAATAAAATTACTATTGTAATCTGTCCTAATATAGTTTATTGAATAATTTTGTGCTAACGTAATTTACTGCTGCTACAAAACTTAAGACTAAGAATTTTCTCACTAATATACCTTACTTTTTCTAATAACTTATTACACTAATCTATAGTCATTGTGTACACAATCAAGTATTGTACTCTGCTTTTGCACTTAAATATCACAATTTACACTAGTTCAAAAGGTTTATCATCTTGTCTTCTAATCTGGTTTGTATTGTAAACGAGCTAGATGGCCCCGACATTGATATGGTTCAGAGATCGCTGTTCATGGCTCTTAGCTCAGTTGCTTTCTATCCATAAGATTCATTGTTTTATCGTTTTTCTCAGTTACTTGTTCTTGAATTTATCTGTAGATTCACATAAACGTAGAGCCGGGTAAATAGATTAGAGTCCACTTTGCATCTCGTCTATATATTGAGCAGTTTATGAGTTATAAAAATCCTTGATTTTACGTTACCCTGAATGGTAATGACAATTTGATTAACTAACCTAATTTTGCGTTACCCCAAATTGTATGTTTACTTGATTAAGGGACTTAATTTCCGGCTGTTTTTAAAATACTTCCTCGCTCTTCTGTTATCCTGATATCAAAAGTTTATCAACAGAATTGCAACTTTTGTAATTTGGATCTTTGTATTAGGGAAACATAAGAATCAGCAATTTTTTAGTCAATAGATTTTCCTGTTTTTGCATAAAGTGGGTATTCAATTTTTTTTTTCTTTAATTTTTGGAATATTTAGATAACTTTTCTGAATTATGGCGAGATTTTCCTGTAATATTTTTTACATTTTTGGCATAGGTATTCTAATTTCAAACTTATTTTCTTATATATCTATTTTATTGATACATTTTACTAGACTAATAGAATTCTTCCTTTAGGTAATGAGTTTTTCTAAGTTTGACATATTTTCTAAATTTAGTCTATTTTCCTGTACTATTTTTTTTATTTTTAGACGATTTGTATTTTAATCGTCGGTATTGTAATTTCATTGAATTTTCCTGTACTGTTTTGGTGCTTTTTTTACATATCCATTTTATGAATCATTTTAGTAAACTAAAGTTTCCCGGACTATGTAATTTTTTGACGATGTCAATTGTTTTAACGTTATGTGGCATATCTGTTGATTGTTTTGTTTGTTATAACGTTGTACTGGATTCACACACTTTTAGATGGTTTTAATATATATTAAAATAAACGTTGGGCGCCAAATGTGTAACGTTATTTAGTTATTTTCTATTTGATTTTACGTTACCCTGAATGGTAATGACAATTTGATTAACTAACCTAATTTTGCGTTACCCCAAATTGTATGTTTACTTGATTAAGGAACTTAATTTCCGGCTGTTTTTAAAATACATCCTCGCTCTTCTGTTATCCTGATATCAAAAGTTTATCAACAGAATTGCAACTTTTTTAACTTGGATATTCTTCATATCAGGATAACAGAAGAGCGATGAGTTATAGTAAAGTTTTATTTTTGTTCCGATCTCTATCAAATTAGACACAGCGTTACAGTAATTTAAAATGTTTGACTGGTGTCTGCTTCTCTCTATATTTGATGCTTTTGGAGAGGAATTGTGTAGAATGCTACACATTTGGACGAACAACTGCACAGGTACACCACAATGACCAATTTCATTGGTTTGCTACAGATGTTCAACAAACTGCACAAAAAAGTATACCATAGGCCAAAAAAACAAATATGCGTTTTTCCTTCTCATAATAAATAAATCGCGAATCAGACAAAAGGTGTCGCATGCTTAGCGCCATCTTAAATTATTACTGTCAAACTGTCACTTTCATACAAATATGTGTGCCATTGCGTTCGGTCTGCCAAGTTCCTTTAACACTTTTTACTTTAAACGACCCTTCTAGCGTTCGGTTTAGTCCGATTAGTGACAGTTTAACACGCTTAAATGTCATTTAAAGGCACCCTAAAAAACTCGCTTTTGTCCCGCTACTCCAGCCCCTGACTATCCGAACTCGCCTTATATATCGTTTAGTGAGAACATTAGTGACGTAACTCAAAAATACACGTTTTTGACTTGTGTACTTCAAAAAATTGCTTAATGTAGCCCGCAACTGGTACATAACTTATAGTTCTACTACTGTCCGCTCGGTGGCTGTAGTTGTCAGTAATGCTTGGTATTTTTATTTTCACCTTCGAAGGCAATACTGACGAATGTAACATTATTAATCTTCTATTACTTAAAAAAAATCCTGTTACATTATACCTTGAAGATATTTAAAATTTAGAGAGAAAAAATCGGTAAGATAGCTCCAAACGTATAGCCAAAAAAAAAATATATAATTTTCGTACAAACTTTAACCGCGTTTATCTTAGATCAACATATTCGGAGTTAGGTCACTAATGTTCTCACTAGGCGACATACAGGGTGGCTCACGCTCAACGGGACGGAGCTTTATGGGAAAACGACCAAAGATATAAAAAATTCGTTTGGGAGGAATACATAGGTTACAGACGGCTACAATTTAAATTTTTTTAGATGTATACAGGATGTCCCACATAAGAAAAAAAAATTAGTTCATTAAAAATTATTCAAACAAGAGTAAACAATTTCTGGGAGACTTTTTTTCCTTAAAAATTCAAATAAATCGAAAACTAATAATAATAGTAATAGGGAACCTTTAGTTAACTGACGTTATTTTTGATGTAGTTTTTAATTCTAAAATAAAAAACAGGGTGTTCCATTAAAAATAATATAACTTTGTATATTTTCTCTTAGTTTTAGCAAATGTACGTAAGATTTCCGCTAACGTTACGTTAAACTTAGATTGTGACCTTTTTCATAAACATTGAACGGAGTAGATTACAGTCTATCCCTAAGGTAACGTTAGCGGCTGTTTGCTAAAACTCCCTATTCTTAAAATTAAGTTCTTTGATCGGCAACATATAATACATCAGCTAGTAATGATGGTTCTCTATACTTAAAAAGTCCCTCTATTAGCGAATAGCTAAAACAATAGAGCTTTAGTTATTCGTTAATAGATGGCACTTCTAAATTTTGTTAGCCATTTCTAATTCTTATTTATAAAAAATGTCTTGAAATTAATATAATTTATATTTGTGGAAATAAAAAAGTCTATCAATAAATAAAAAACAAAAACGTGGCCAAGACTTTTGAGTTTTTTCGATTACGGATATTTAGAATATTATGTAGAAATTGTACAACTTTTAAACAAAACATACACAATAAAATACAGGGTGATTCATTAAGGATGGCGAATAAAAACAAGTACAAAAGATTAACAAAGTTTTATTTTATTACAAACAGTACAATATAAAGAGAGATACTAGAATAGAAGAAAGCAGTATCAGTAGTTTACTTTGATAAATTTTTTTGGTCATAAAAACGTTTTCTTACAAATTAGGAGACTTCACTTATCTTACTGTCCATTTTCTTCAGAAAAAAATTACTTACATTCTATCTCTTGTAGAGCAACCCAATCGAGTCAAATTTGGTAACTCTGTATGTTGTAAACTTATTTCTGCAGCTATACATACCTCACAGGAAAAAATTTTGGATTGCCCTACACAGAAGAATCCAAAAAAATACATTGCATGAAATCACATAAGTGCATAAAATCCATATACATCATCAGTATAAAATGAAATATTTAATTAATATAATCAAAATATACAAAAATCGAAATTGTTAATAAAATTCGCAGGCTCTGTAATGAGTATAATTACGTATCCTAATTTTTTATTTTATTGCAAAAATATAGGAAATAAAGGTACCTATTTGGCAAAAACAGGTATGACAGAACGGAGAAAATCTGTCATTCTTGTCAAAAAATGACATTTCGGAGCGATATTTTTATTAAACCTAATTTGTGGAAGATTTATATAAAATTGAATAATATAGTAAAAATATATACATCTAAGAGGGCAAGACACCTTTTACCCTGACATTAGTATGGCACGCCATTGTCACAGTTCGACACTATATACTGATATGTCCAGAAAATAAAAATATTCCTACTAAGTACAGAGTATCAATATAGAGCCAAAACCACCAAAGAACAAACAAATAAATTTCGAATTTTGTTATAATTATAATAATAATTAATAATAATACGTTTCTGATACACTCTGTAACTAAAATCGATAAAAAAATTGTATTTTGTATTATAAATTGTGGGACAAGAATCCCCAGCGCTGCTACAAACTAATGTTGTTTATTTCCTTTAACTTTTGATTCTTTTTGGCTTGCCACCTTTGGACAGGAGGAATTAAAAATAGGATAATCCCGCTCAGTCCTATCGCCGTTCCTGCGAGAATGAATCCTGGATTGTATGAACCAGTCACGTCGAAAAGACTACCTGAAAAAAAAAAACAAAATTAATAGATACATTTTATTTGAGATTATTAAAAAATAAATAAATAAACGCTAGTTAATTTGCATATTTGTATACGCATGGTAGTCGTTAAGTAATTTTACAAAGAAAAGTATAATAGATTTTTTATTAGACATTTATATTGACAGTTACCTATGGTGTATATAGGCAACCAAACATACATGTACATTTGAAATCAAGGTGTGTTAAAATACTATCTGTCATTGTACCTATGTCATTATTTAATTTTTTTTAAATTCAAAAACTCTATGTAGTTTAAAATCAAAAGTTGGATATTGACGAATAAATAAAAATTGAAAGTAAGATATCTTTAATTTTTAAAAATTAGGTTGACGGAAAAATTCTCGCTCTGCTCGCGCGTTAAATTATCTCGATTGTTAATACACTTGTTCGTTAAGGGTCGATTCCACCGTTGTGTAAAACGGAGATTAAAATGACATTGTTAATGTAAAAATGTCATTTTAAACTTCGTTTAACACAACGGAGGAATCGGTCCTAAATAACCATTTTATAATAATCTTGACGTTATATTGAAGATTAATTTTAAAAAAAATTGAAATTTGTAATTTTTTGGTATAAAAAATATATGTTCGTGTTTATATCGATCTATTTTATATATAAATAAAAAATATCGACGTTAATACGAAATTATAATTTTTTATTATTAATTCCAAAAACGATTAGGAAAAATAAATTTTAAAATTTCACATTTAACATCTGTCTTATAATCAACATTTTATTAAAGCAAGTTGGCTCAAATCGTAATATTTTGAAGTTCAAAACTACAATACTCTTTTGTATGTCCCTGGCATGGGCGAAGTTAAGGGGGGGCTTGGGGGGGCTAAGCCCCCCCAAAAACCAAATTAGCCCCCCCAAAAATAGTTCGAACATTTATCGCACATCCATTCATACATTTCAGATTTCAGAACAGAAATTAAAAAATAAAATAAATTGATTCTGCAATTTTACATTTAGTTTAGGAGGCAGTGAATTTTTTTCGTATTCATTTTTCCAGTGAAAATAAAAATAAAAAATAAATTGTTCTCTTAGGGACAAAAACAAAATTTTTGAGTCTGACACTTATTTTCCCAGTCATAATTATTTTACATTTACTAAACTAGAACATAAAGCTTATAAAAATAGCAGTTTGGATTATCTTAGATAGTGGAAAGTGAGTGTGGCAGAAAATTAAGCATATAAAATTGATACAATTATGAATAATAATAAATCTGGCTGATTTACGAAATAGGCTAATGAGTCTGGTAACATCTTCTAAATCGAAAAAATATAATATTTTTGCTTTTATTTTACCGGGTTTGAAAATTTGTCACGTGATAGATTAAATTATAATTTTACACCTCTATTTTATAGCCAATCAAATGCTGTTATTTTAAAACGCTTCTATGACAACAAGAAAAATTTCCGGAAATGTTTCTTTTGGTGGGTACCCTGAACGAAATTATACTTAAAATTTTTTTGACAGTTGAGCAGCTCTTTCATGCATATAATATTACGACGCAACGCAATAGTGTGATTAAAAAATTTGCCATTTCAGTGGTTAATATTTTATTTAATACAAATTATAACTAGGTAGAAATACAGTACATTTATTTTAATAATAATTAGGTTTTTCGCGTCAACTAAACGACTTTAAATATGGCAAATGGTCATGGTATGGCCACAGCATATAAAACATATGTTTTTTTATTTGATTTTAGTCGTTTTAATGCATATCTGTAAAGTTTTTAAATTTGTATTTTTTGGTGTAAAACTTTCTTACCCAATACCACACGTGCCTAAATTATTATCAGAAATTTTTTGCCCACTTTTGTATGACCGAAGGAGTGGTTACGGTTTCGGCCAACTTTGGCTTTAAATAAGAGTTTCGACTACAGTTTCGGTTTCGGCGGAAAACTGGCCGAAATTGCAGCCGACAACGAAACTACTTTTAAAAGTTTTCGTTTTATAATTGGTTGTGTCCGGCACAATGGCGACTGTGCCGGGTGCCATTCCTACACAGTGCACGTACACACAAACTTATCTGCTTTGTTTCAAGTGAACATGTCAATAAATTTATTAATGGCTTCTTTTGATCACATAAATAAATAGGTAATAAGTAAATGTAGCTAAAATTTATAATACGAGTTAATTGGTCTAAAACAAGGATTACAATAAGATATTGCAAATTTCAATAAGAGATTGCCTTAAAAGAAAGTTCTTGTTTCTGTTTCGGTTTCGGTCGAAACTAAGAAAGGAGCCGAAATTTGGTTCCTGTTTCGGTTATGAAACCGTATTTCGGGATGTTCCACATAAGCCAGACTGTATTTTAAGCTGTTATCATAACATACATTTTTCTAGTAGTGATAACACTTGGGCATTGCCATTTAAAAGGACACCTTAGTAAACTGAGAGTAGTAGAAGCTAGTGACTGCAGATTCTGTAAGGAGGAGGAATAAACATTCATTCACATTCTGAATGTGTAGCACTCCAGAATCCAAAGGCGCTATACCTAACTTGAAGCCACTCCAAATCCTACATTTCCTTGAGAAGATATAACTGGATTAAAGCTAAGCTAAGTGATACGCCCTCTGGAGGAAATTTGTAGAAGGTCCCTATAAGTAGGATATCGTTCAGTGTTGCCAAAACTAGCAAAATTTCGCTACGTCGTCGGATTTTAGCTCTTGAAGAAGTGGACAAGATCTTTTATTTAAGAATCAAAATTTGTGTAAAATAATGTGTAATCATACTGTATATTTATTTAAGGATTTTTTTATTAAACCGATTTATTATATTGATTTTTTAAATTTCAGTTCATTTATTAATTTTGTATTAAAATCAGTTCATCATTTGGCAATATTGGCGTTTATTGTTTACCTACATTTTAATTTGTATCAATTACAATTCGAGTTTTTTTTACTTTTTAGCTTTAAATTTGTTTATTTCTTATAGTATGTGATAGTGTTTATATTAAAAATGAAATCTGCGAAAAAGTCCCCAGCAAATTGCAATCTATATTGTGTTAATGTCAAAATCAAAACTGAAGTATTCATTATTTTCCAAATGCAAGTCGTAAAGTTTTGTTTTTTACCATAAATGGATATCTACAAATTCACAATATTAAAATTTTGCAAAACTTTGTTTAGAATCGAAACTGTAATCTGATTTGTGACGGTTTTAATACCATTTACATGTATACAAAGTACTACATAATTCACTTCATAATATAAGAATAAGTCTAGTAAGATATAATTTCAACAATAATAAACGTTTGGTACCTGAAATGTCCTTTAAACCACATAATAAAACATGTCCTGGGTTTAGTAAATACGTATTTCTAAATATTCTTGTAGCAACCAATAGGTGAATATTTCCAACAAATTAAGTCATACACATGATAAAAATTAACATTAAATGAAACTCAAAAACACTATTACAATGAGAATATTATCTAAAAACAGTTTAAAAAAATCACAAATACAAAATCCGTCCAAAACAAACACATGTAAATAAACAAACATCCTACTTATAGGTGACAAATGACAGGCGCGCGAAAATTAATTTGAATCGCGAATAGGCATTGAGACATTTCCTTGCTGCATTAGCGACAGAAGGGGGTACAATAAATCTTTTAGGTCGCAGTGTATTAACACCCCATTCCCAAAATAACATAACAGAACACTGCAAAAAAATGAAATCCATCAATTACAGTTCATATTTTTTAATTTTTAATCATTAAGATTACATATACGTTAAAATTAGATATTTTTGTTTAGAATCGATAAAAAATAGCATTTTTATTTTTATTTGGGCCACATTAAAAAAATCAATTTTAATCAAATTGTATGAAACTAATTTAATTACGAGTATTAAAACTAAAAACCTAAAAATGACGATGGAGCTGAGGACAGAGCATCTGCCTTCCACGCGAATAGCCTGGATTCGAATCTGGACTAGGGGCTAATTTTTTTATGTTTATTTTATTTTATGAATTAATAAAATTCATAAATTATTTTAAAATTAGTTATTTTGTCTAAAACTAAACTATTTTTTTAAATTTGTAAATTTTCGTTAGTGGTTCGTAGAAAAACTATACTGTATAACTCGAGTGGATTGTCCATATCTACTCTTGTTGCACAAACTATTATTTCATGACTGCGAAAATGAGGAAAATTTTTGTGATGAAAATTTTTCACTTAATACAACTATATATTATATGATATTTTATCCATTTTCATAGATTTGCCAGAATTTTTTTACTTAACTTCAGTATACCTCTAGAACTATTATATATTATATGACTTGGGCTAGGGCTTTAGCCCCCCCAAATCTGATGACATAACTTCGCCCATGTGTCCCTGTATAATTTCCATTTACGTCATTATTAACCGCGCTCCCGCGACGTTTTTAAATTCTTGTCCGCCATTTTGTGATGAAAAGTAGTTTTGATATCGTCGATCGAAGCGACATCTTTAGTGAAACGTCACACAAAACAATAAGCAACGACATACGTTTTCGTTGTAAATTGACATAATCGATTGCAGCAGTTCAAATTATATTCGATACTTTTGTTCCGTTCTGCAAGTCGATTCAATTAGATATCAACCAGAAATGTAACTATTTGATAAATAATAATCATTACACTTAATAGATGGTAAATTATAAATAATTGTGTGCTTAGATTACGATTTAATTACGTAATAAAGTGTTTTTTTTGCGTTTAGCGGCTAGGAATCGATTAGCGAGTGGTTATTATATCGATTTTTTTTACCCGCATAATGCATCATTTTATTTTATTCTATTTCCTGTCGACAACAGACCACAGCTAACCTAAATTTTGTGAATTTCTCTAAAGGCGCAATAAAACTGTATTTTTATCCAAAATTCGGTGTTTTCTGTTTGATTTATTTATAAGTCCGATTATTCCGCTAACCATCACACCAGTCAAATCGATAAATTTTAATTTCGTGGAGTGCTACGTGTTATCGGCTCTCTGAATGAGTGCGTTTGGTTTTCGAAGTATTTCGTTTTAAACAAAAGAGCACAGATGCCCTATATGGCTGATCCGTCTCTCATCACTAAGGTACAGAAATATTTGGAAGAACACACCGAAAAAACCTACGTTGACATAAATGAGATATCTGACGAGTTACAAGAGCAGTACAGGGAATACGCTAAGCGGAAGCGTAGTGTGTTCAGGGCGGCAGTAAAGAAAGCATATAACGTTGTTTTAGCGAAATACGGCGTGGAGGACGACAACAGTCCTGAAAATAGCGATTGCAGCAGCGTAGATCTTAACGAATCCCCAGAAAATAACTCTTTAAGTAAACAGATGGTAAGTGGTTTTGTTTTTAATTTTGACACCGGTTCTAACCTTATTCAATATCCAAGACTCCATATTTACATTTGGTAATTTCCTTTATTTAGGTTAGTTTGTATAAAAAGGGGGAGGAAGCTCCCTCCAAAGACATGGAGGAAAATGAACTGATAGATATCAGTAGTGATGATGAATCTGAACCACAACAGCCCCCGGCTGCAACTGTAAAACATAATGTTATAACTGCTAATAAAAATGGAGTGCAACAAAGCTATGAAAATGATAAATACAAGAAACGTAAACATGATTATGCCACTATTATTAATGTAACCTCAGCTAACAAACGCCGAAAGTTCATTCAGACACCTCCTAATCGTAACAGAGATGGGGAAGTGAATTTCTCTAATATTGGAGGCATGGACAAGACTCTAGAAGAAGTAGCTAAGTTATTGTTGCACATACATCATCCTGAAATTTATAGAACGATAGGTATAACTCCCCCAAGGGGTTTTTTGTTGCATGGCCCTCCTGGTTGCGGTAAATCACTATTGGCCCATGCTATAGCTGGAGAGCTTAATGTGCAGTTGATTCAAGTCACAGCTCCAGAATTAGTGGCTGGTGTTTCAGGTAAGTCTTCTCTACAAACGTTTTTAATTGGTAATCAATTCAATTTTATTATATAATGTAAATATACTTATTGTTTAGCTTTTAACTCAAATATTGTGGATGTTAAGTCTATGTAGCTTGTTTAAATTATTAGGTGTTTCTTCATGGCAATTGAAATGTTTAGAATAATTGTGAAAAATTCATTATGGAACAATAAATTATTCAAATGAAATACAAATTGATACTGTTTATTTGAATGCATAAGATTTAAATTTGTAAAACTGTAATAATAATACTAGAAACAATCATTATATTGATTATAAACATATATAGACAATACTAACAGTAACTTGACTTGGGGTCTTATCATGGCTAACAACAAACTGAGGACCAATGATGCAGCATAATCAAGTGTTATTTTCATTTGGCAGCACATGAATATGTTACATTCAGGATACTACATTAAATGCTAAATTTAGAGAAAAAATTAAGCTTTAAATATAATCAATTTATGGTAATCCAAGCGAACATTTTTTTAATCTATAAATGTATAGAAAATTATAGCAAAAAGGTCTATACATTTTTATAATTTTGCATATCAGGACAATTTTCATACTCGATATAGAGTTTTGACATTTATCATTATCACTTACATGAGGATTTGACATTTACCATGATCATATTTTGAGACTTGCACAATTTTGACACTTGACATAAGAATTTTTAGATTTATTATAACAATTTTGACATTTATCATGACAATTTTGATATTTATCATGACAACTTTGACAATTATCCTGATAATTTTGAGACTGCACATTTTAGTATTTATTTGAACATATAAATTCAATCTCAATAAAATAACCCCAATGCTTAGGTATAATATTGAGTAACTGTTCTGATTTCTCTCTAGAAGCCATAAAAAGAGTTTTCCAAACATTGGTTGTATCTCAGTTGGAGTATGCTTCTATAATTTGGTTGCCACAATATCATATACACTGTCCACCAGTGGAAAGAATACAAAATAAATTTCTAAGATACTGTGCCTTCAAATTAAATATTTGGGTAACAGATCACAATTATACTAGGATTTTAAATGAAATGAATATGAGCCGACTTAAGTACAAGGATACTTATATCAGATTTGAATTTTATCTATAGATTATTAAATGGCCTAGTCATATGCCCGGAACTCTTAGAAATTATTTCTTTCAATAATCATAATATAGTCCTTAGGCAATTAAATATGTTCCATTTCACCATACAAACTATGGCATGCATTAACCTATTGAAAGAACATAGGGAGAGTATTATTATTATTATTATTATTAAATCAATTGAATCTTGATGTTACAGGCATTTCTTTTAATAAATTTAGGGCAATCTGTACGAATGCACTGGAGTAAAAATGAAATATTACAGACAGATTTACAACACTTAAAATGCATTTGTTAATCTAAAAATTATTTGACTTGATTTTAACTTTTTTCTCTCTCTTATATTTTTTTAATGTAATTTATAATTATCTGTATCATTTATATGTGTTTTGCTTTGTAATGGTGTTGATCCCATTTAAATAAATAATGACAAGTTTGTTTGGCCTGACAATTTTGACATTTGACTTATGGGTGTTGACATTTATTATTCAGTTTTGCTTACAATGACAGTTTTGACATTTATTATGATATTGTTTCTTGCCAGGACGATTTTGATACATGATATGAGTTTTGACATTTACCAGGATCATATTTTGAGATTTGGCAAAATTTTGAAACTGTTGTAAGAATTTTGCCATTTACCATTACAATTTTGTTAACCATGACAGTTTTGATAAGTTTACATGACCTTTCAATTTTGACATTTGACTTAAGAGGGTTGACATTTATTATTCAATTTTGCTTATAATGACAGTTTTGACATTTATAATGATTATTTGTGAGTGGTGAGTTTTGATATTTGACATTTATAATGATAATTTTGAGATTTGGCATAACATTTGAAAATTTTGTTTATCGTGACAGCTTTGACAACTACCAAGACATTTTTGAACATTTATTAATTACTTTTTTGACATTAAACATGATAAATGAATGTATGCTAACCTAAATGCTTCCAATAACTTACTATTCTTCAGACTTTTTTACCAATTAACTTAACTTCTAGGTGAAAGTGAACAAAGAATAAGGAACTTATTCCAAAGGGCTTACATGAACTCTCCTTGTATATTGTTTATAGACGAAATCGATGCCGTTACTCAAAACCGGCAGAACGCCCAAAAAGATATGGAGAAAAGAATGGTTGCACAACTGATAAGCTGCCTTGACAGTAAGTAGAACATTATTTAAAATATGAATGTTACAATTCAAACTATATTTTTTTTTTTACAATCTTTTAAATTGTTTTAAGTATATTTATTGTTTGGAAAATTATATATTTTTAAATAGTCAAAAGAATATTTTTTCTTACATTACAATTCTGCTGCAAATCTTTTATGGCCAAAAATGCATGGTAACAAATAAAGACATGCAACAGGGTTACATTTTGATCTATGAGATACATATTATACGGTATTATGAAGTGTTCTGTTAAAAAAGTGGTTTAAGGATATAAGAGAGTTGATTAAACATTATTTTTCTCTAGTATTGAACAAATCAGACCAAGGCAATGGAGTGCTGGTGATCGGGGCCACTAATCGCCCAGAATCCATAGATCCTGCGCTCAGAAGAGCCGGCAGATTCGACAGGGAGATTTGCTTGGGTATCCCCAACAAGGAGAGCAGGGGGCAAATCTTACAAATCGTTACCAGGAAGTTGAAACTTGAACCGAAATTCGATTACGAAATTTTATCGACTTTGACTCCCGGTTACGTGGGTGCCGATCTTATTTCGTTGACCAGAGAGGCTGCGATGGTAGCCGTCGATAGGATGATTAAGCAGTTGAAAGAAAATGAAGCCAAAGTAAGTTAATACCTTAATTTTCAATGTAATGATTAACTGTTTTTTCTTTTTTAATAGCTGGAGGAAGATGAAGAAGAGGTAGTTGTACCTAAAGTGGTTATACAACCGACAAAACCACCTCCAGTGAAATCTCCCGCCGCTGATCCACCAAAGGAAAAATCCGATGAAATCGTCATAGAAAATGCCGATGATTCCGCTGAGATCGTAGTAGAAGAAGGCCCTACGCAGATAATAGAGGCGGAAAAACCAGTTGCGTCCACTCCCGAGTCCATAGTCCTGTTAGAAGAAGAAAAGCCTGCCAACAAGAAGCAATCAACCGTGCAGAACACCAACTCCTTGGAGGAGATCCTGTTCTGGTTGCACGATCAGTTGCCGCTGTCCGACGAGGAACTCTCCTTGCTGTGCATCACGATGGACGATTTTAAGGCTGCTTTGAAGAGCGTACAGCCTTCCGCCAAAAGGGAAGGGTTCGTGACAGTGCCAGATACCAATTGGGAAGATGTAGGGAGTTTAAAGGATATCCGCGAGGAATTGCAGCTGTCTATTGTGGTAAGTATCTATCTTTGCAGTTGAATAGTAGCGCCAATTTGCTCTGTAGATTAATCAGGTTCTTATAGGGTATGAGTTACTCATCATTTTTGGCGCCAAACGAGGATACTTGTCTCATTCCTGTCTTTAATCTTTTCAAATCATTCTTATCTTATGTTTCCTACCATTTTTCGGTATTCCCATCCAATTTAGAGCTTACGAAACGGTTATTTTCCAGGCCCCAGTGCGTCATCCGAAGAAATTCAGCAACCTAGGCATTACGGTACCTGCGGGCGTCCTGCTATTCGGTCCACCCGGTTGCGGCAAGACCCTCCTGGCCAAGGCCATAGCCAACGAAGCCGCGATCAATTTCATCAGCGTCAAAGGTCCCGAACTGCTCAACATGTACGTCGGCGAATCGGAACGAGCCGTTAGGGTGTGCTTCGAGAGGGCGCGCAACAGCGCCCCCTGCGTTATATTTTTTGATGAATTGGACGCGTTGTGTCCTAAAAGGACTCCCACAGATAATGGCGGCACGTCCAGGGTAAGTTGAATAATCTAATATTGCGATTAAATCAGTTGAATGACATTTGACGGCTGTCAAATCGTTGGAATTTGTCGCTTGTCAGGTAACTGTTAATAGAAGACGATGCAGCCAATATAACAAATTAAAATTGACACTAATGATATAAGAAATCGGTTCACATGAAAAGGGGGTTATTTTTTGTTTACTTTTTGTTTTTATCTACTTTTAGGTTACATTTATATGTTGAAAAACTTTGACATAAACAACAATTATGTTTATTTAGACTGTTTATGTATAACAATTATATTATGTAACAATTTAGGCGTCTATATAACCAAATAAAACAGTAAATGTAGGTTCATTAACAGTAATAATTATTGTTCTTAAGAAATTAATTTAAATAAATTGAACACGTTCTTAATAAAATTAAATATCAATTTAAATATCTTTAACACTAATAATTAATTGTTATTCTTAATAAAATTAAATATTTAAATAAATTTAACACTAATAAATTGTTCTTAATAAAATTAAATATTGAAATAAATTTAACACTAATAAATTCTTCTTCATGAAATCAAATATTTTAAATAAATTTAATAATATATAATTTAATAAAATATTAATTTAAATAAATTTAACACTAATAATTGGTCGTAATAAAATGAAATATTAATTAAAATAAATGTAACACTATTAATTATATGTTTATGTATCAAATCTTGGAGAGACATTGAAGAGAAAAAACATTAAATGTTAGTTTCAGTTGATTTTCTAATCTCAAGTTACATAAATAGATAAAAAATCAAAAGGAAATTTAAACAAAGCGAAATAAAAACAATACGGACACAAATATACTAATAACAATAAAGCACAATGCTATTCTTATGTGTTAATATTATTGACAGCTGATATTGACAGATTTGTTTCAACTTTTATTTGAAAAATACCCTAAAATAAAAAGTGTAATTTCTTATGACTTAGTGTCAATAATAACTGTTGAAGATTACTAGTTAAAAAGTTGTTTGCTAGTGACATTTATATGTTTTTTAGGTGGTGAATCAATTATTGACAGAGATGGATGGTGTATCAGGAAGGAAAGGGGTATTTTTACTTGCGGCGACTAACAGGGTGGACATTATTGATCCTGCAGTGTTGAGACCGGGACGTCTGGATAAAATACTGTATGTTGGATTACCGAATGCCGCAGATAGGGGGGATATATTGAACGCCATCACCAAAAACGGTAAGGGAACATTATTTTGTCATATTACACAGTTCCTTTTATTACCACTTAAATGTTTTAGATGGTTATATTTTCAACACAAGTTTATTTTCTTTAAAGCACTTTCACTACATTACTGACCTCAATTTTTTTATTGTTATTGCTGTATTTCTTTTTATTGAACATTAATAATTGTTTTTAATAAAGTGAAATATTAATTAAAATAAATTTAACACTAATAAATGTTCTTAATAAAATAAAATATAAATTTAACTAAATTTCACACTAATTGTTCATAATAAAAAGAAATATTAATTAAAATAAATGTAACACTAATAATTGTTCCTAATAAAATGAAATATTTACTTAAATAAATTTAATACTGATAATTGTTCTTAATAAAATGTAATAATCACTAATAATTGTTCCTAATAAAAAGAAATATTAATTAAAATAAATTTAACACTAATAAATGTTCTTCCTAAAATGAAATATTAATTTATATACATTTAACACTAATAATTGTTCTTAATAAAATTTAATATCAATTTAAATAAATTTAACACTAATAATTGTTCTTAATAAAATTTAATATTAATTTAAATAAATGTATCACTAATAATTTCCTGTAACATTTATCGCACCACTTTTTGCCCTAATTTCCCACTTTTTAAGTTATACCAATAATTTTGTTTGCAGGCACTAAGCCGCTGCTGGGCGCCGACGTGTCCTTGGCCGATATAGCGGAGCGTAAAGAATGCGAGGGATTCACAGGGGCCGATTTGGCGGCTCTGGTACGAGAGGCGAGCGTTTCTGCACTCAAGGACGTCTTAACGTTGCCGGAAAGCGACGATACCGCCGTGGCCGTTACTTTGGAGCATTTCAACAGGGCGTTCCGGAAAATCAGGGGCAGTGTCAATGAAAAAGATCGAAAATACTACGAAGAACAGCGTAGGAATTTCTCGTCGGATCGGAAGGATAGCGAGGTGGAGGAGATGGAACTGTCTTAAGTTTGAATATATATGCCTAGTTTTTATCTCTTTTTTTTTTTTTAGGTATAAACGTTGCTCGATCTTTTGTATCGGGGATTATCTGTATTTTTTTTATTCTGAATGATTAAAGGCGTATTTGTGGACAAAATATTTGTTGTTTTTTTTTGTTGTTTTAGAAATAGTTTATCATTTCAATTGTGTTTGTTATAGATTGTTTTAATAGATCATTGGCTTCGGTGAAAACAAATATTTTGTTTACTGATTTGACGTATTTTATTTTCTTTTTTATTCAATAAAAATTAAGAATGAAAAATTACATGTAAATTTCCCATGTTTTTATTACGAAAGCATCACTATTTTAGCGATTTTCCTACCATTCCATTTTTCCGACTTATTTTGACATTTAAGACATTTGTGTGGAGTTGTTAATGTTTGACGCGGCATTTTTTATTTTAAACATTTTTTTTTGCAACACCCAGACTTTTTTGACATTTTAAAAATGAGGTCAGTGATGTCAAAAATGGTTATGACCTTCACAAAGAAAAAAAAACCTATTTTAAAGATTATTAAATTTTCTATCTTTTTTGTTGCATACTTTTTTTTCTGTTAATATTTTCCTAGAAAACTTTATATTGAATTTCATTTTCAAAATATTTCATTAACGGTAAATCCTACATAAAAATACCTTTAGTAAAACTTGCAGAACATGCGATTGCCAGCAATTCTCATAATCACAATTTTTTTAGTAACTTCAATATTTTACGAGTTGCAGCGCTTCAAGTGCTTAACACCACAAAGCAAGCAACTTATTTTAAGGATTATTAAATTTTCTCTTTTTTGTTTGAAACTTTTTTCTAATTTTAATATTGTACTAGATATAGTACGTCAAACTTTTCGAATCATTTTCTTTTCAAAATATCTCGTTAACGGTAAATCCTACATAAAAATACCTTTAGTAAAACTTGCAGAACATGCAATTGTTAGTAATTTTCGTAATTACAATTTTTTTCGTTACTTCAATATTTTAGGAGTTATAGGACTTCAAGTGCTCAACACCACATGGCTATCTTTTTTGATCCAAACTTTTTTATATTTTACTACATATAGCTCGTTAAACTTTATATATCATTTCAATTGTTTTCGTAGCTTAAAAAAAATCATTTTTGGGTGGGAACCGAACCCATGACTTCTGGTACACCGTACCAACATCCTACGTTTAAAAATTAAAAATGTCCGTGTCTGATGGCGATAGATTGAAAAATGGTGGGGTGGAGAAATTTCTAATGACACGAGATTGTGATTGCTTTTTTGTGACGGTTGTTTCCGAGGACGTAGATTGTAAAAAATTAGGTATCAAAATTTTATTAATAAAAATTGTATTGGTCCCTCTAGCGGTAAATCTCCTCTATACTATTTAGCATCATTTATTTAATTTTTTGTTTATATTAAGCAATTAATTTTGTATTATTGAATATTTTTATGTACTTTTTATTTAATTCGAATTTATTTTAAAACTCTTTAATTCTATAGAAATATACAAAAATGTAAGTACCTATTTTTTGAAATATAGCAGTTTAGGTTACTTACAAGGATTTTATTTATTATTTTTTTAAGTATTTCAGTCGCATTTTAGCTATGATAACCAAATTTAAGATCAAAAATAATTTTTAAGCTATCATTTAAAGTTATTATCTAAGGAAAATGAGAGAAAAATAAAGGGTAATTTTTTTAAAAGCAGTTTATTTTTAATCTGAAAAACGTTCAAGATCATATTTCAAATCCCAGGTATTTTTTAGGAATGCTAAAAGATAAGTTATATGTTTAAAAACAATTAAAAAGTATTTCATATTTTTAAAACCATGTCCGTTCTTACACGAGGGTTGCCCTTTATATTTCGGGATTGGACAACCCTAGTGTTGCAAACTGGCAACTGACAGCTCTGTCGTAAAGTTTGACATTTTTGAGGTTATGTATACTCAGAACGTTTTGACATACGAGCGCTATTTGTGTTGTTTACAGTAACTTAAAAGATTCATCTCAGCCAAAAAATGGAATTAAATCGTGAACATCGTGCGATTATTTTTTACAACTTTCGACGTGGATTAACACAGCAACTACATCGATTAACTTAATTCAATTTTTGGCGATGAAGCGCCATAAAGGACCAGTGTTTATAGATGGTATGGTGAATTCAATCGAGGTCGTAGTTCGCTTCAAGACGAATTTTGTGATGGTCGTCCAAAATCAGTTGTTGTTCTGGAAACCATTGATGCTGTGCGTGAACTGATATTGAAAAATCGTCATGTGACCTATCGTGAGATTGAGACAACCTTCGACATTAGTGGGACCAGCATATATTCAATATTGCATGAACATTTGACTGTTAAAAGAATTTGTTCGCGTTGGATCCCACACAATTTGTCAATCGTTCAAAAAAGGCTCGTGTGGATTGGTTGAAAGAAATGCTCAAAAAATACTATCGCGGTGCTTCGAAACATGTCCATGACATAGTGACAAGTAACACTTTAATTTGAACACCCGGTATATTATAATGAAAACTTATTTGATGTTTATCAGTTGGTTGTGGCCACTCTTTGATAGAAGCGACTTGTTCCTTATCTACAGTCCTTACTGACTATATGACCCAGGCAATTGACTTTATCTTGGGGTTTAGCATCAGTTGGTCAGCTTGAAGTCTTTAAAAACACCTAAGTTCTTTAGATGTTCATCAAATGTCTTCCCCAAGACTATAATGTCATCTAAATACACCAGGCATGTTTTCCAGGATACGTTTTCTATAAGTCTTTCAAATGTCGCGGGGGCATTACATACTCTAAATGACATAACATTGAATTGCCACAATTCAGCTCCGGGGGTAAAAGCTGTCTTTTTTTTTATCTAGTGGGTCCATGTCCACCTGCAAGTATCCAGACTTCAAGTCTAAGTTTGAAAATAGTTTACTTCCGGCCAATGTGTCCAAGGTATCGTCGATTCGAGGCAAAGGATAACTATCTTTGTAACATTGTTCAACTGACGTTAATCAACACAGAACCTCGTAGTTCCATCCTTTTTCTGGACCAGGACTACCGGAGAGACCCATGGGCTGGTAGAAGGTTCTATCACCCTGTTTTCATTTCCTGAACAATCCTTTCAGCTTCCTTTCTCTTGGCCTTTGGTAATCTTCAAGCTGATTGACGAATCGGCCTGGCGTCACCAGTGTCAATTTTGGGTTTTACAACAAAAGTTCATCCTGTTTTCGGCTTTTGGTACAAAAATGTCACCATATCGTCGAAGAAATTCCTTTATTTTTTTTCTCTAATTGATTCAGAGATTGACCAGCAACTGCAATTATTTCCTCAAATTTGTCGTTGAAATTATCAGAAGTTGTATGACGAATTATGGAAGTTACTGGTACACAAGTTCCGATTCTGGTCTCTTTCTTGATGGTAATTGGGTGGTCATTAACGTTTATGAGTTCTTTAGCAGTCGTGACCAACCCCTTTCCGATCAGAATTCCTCGTCCAACCTCTTCATCGTGGTTCCAAGGTTCCATCATTACATGTGTTCCTTCTTCCATAGTTTCTTGAAGCCGTGCTACAATAATGGTTTCACTTCTGCCAGGTACCACCGTATCTTCCTGTATAGCAACTGGCACGGTACTGTCCCCATATGGATGTAGGAATACCTCTTCGGCACCAACTTTGATCATTCTTTTCTTAAAGTCTAACTGGAAACCATATAAGTTCATTACATACATTCCAAGTAAAACATGTTCTTCGATATCAGCGACAATAACAGTATGGATGAACTTTTCTGTACCAATTCCCCATTTGAACCTGGATTTCCCCATGGGTGTTGGCACTTTTCACGGAGTCCATCAACAAATGTTTGGACTGCCAAACATTCCATCATGTTTTCTGGAGCTGATGGGTAGGCAAATCGCACCAACCTGGCAATATCTACTTCATATTCTTGAAAGGTCTCGTCTCGTTTCTGTTTTGCGATTCTTTAACTGTGATTAGTATAAATGCTCGAAGTGTTTGTGGCCACATCGGATGTTTAGTCTCTTTTTGAGTTGTTCAAAATCATCGGTCTCTTCAACGAGTATTGTCTGAAGAACATCTAAAGCATCTCTCGAAGGGCGATGGTCAAATTTACTGCCTTCTCTCGTTCAGACCATTTGTTTGCTCTGACAGCTGTTTCGAAGTATTTAAGGTCCATGGCATCTTTCCGTCGAAAGTTGGGGCTTTAATACGAGCAGAGTTTACAGCTCCTTCCAATTTTAACTTCGACTCCACCTCCTGACACTTTATTTCACCGTCCTTAGCCGGGTCTGAATGATCCAGTTCTTCTATCTTCTTTTTCATCTCTTTTTTCTCTTCAACGGAAGACATTATTTTCTCCTCAACGGAAGTCATCTTATTTTCCACATCAGCAGAAATTTCATTTTTTAGCGAAGACATATCAGAAGAAATTTCATCTTTCAAAGAAGATATTTTGTTTTCTAAATCGGAAGAAATTTCGGTTTTTAAAGAAGATATGCCAGAAGTCACCTTTTCTTCTAAGGAAGAAATATCGGACGAAACTTTACTTTCTAAGGAAGTAATGTCAGAAAGAACTTTAGTTTCCAAGGAAGTAATGTTTGAAAAAACTTTATTTTCCAATGAGGAAATATTAGAAGTAATATGGGTTTTCATAGAGGTCATATCAGACGAAACTTTGGTTTCTAAAGAGGAAATTTCGTTTTTCATATCGGAAGAAATTAACGAAATTATAGCAGACGCATCATCCGAAAATAGAAACGTTTCCGGATCTAAACCTTTATTTTCTAGTGCTTTCTTAAGTCGTTCTTCCAGCTTCTGATTTCTTCCCTGTCGTCTCCAGTTCGTGTTCTTCTAATTCCCGACGTAGCTCAGGCACTTTTAAATCACACAGTTTCTTAGCCATGATTATCCACTATTTATTTATAATTCCACTTCTAACACCAATGTGACGAAAGTCTAATTTATTTCATACGTACTATTTAATTTATATAATATTTAGACACTAACAATTCTAATTTATTTCTTACACTTTAACTTTTCATTACAATATTCTATATTCAACTATATATAATCAACTAAACTAGGCGCTGATACGTCGGCTATTTATATTAGTCCAACTCCGCTACTGGAAGATACTAGAGGCTCTCGAACATTCCATTTCTATGACTAAACGGCACTCTCCGCCGTTCCAGCTGTTTCTAGTGCATCAGCGGCAGGCATTCCTAAACGTTCCGTTGCCTCGAGCACGAGTCGGTTGCCGTCTGAAGGTCGAGCGTACACAGGGTAGGCTTTAAGAATTTCATGACAATATTTGTACTATTGTAGACTCACATACAGTGTGAGATAATCCATGGATTATACAGGGTGTTAGTATATTCGACCGACATGGCTCTATCCCAGAGAGCTCTTGTGAATTGATGAATTTTAATATAGGAACATGGACGCCAAAAATGCAAATCATCTAATAGATTAAAAAAAAATAGTAGAGGAAAATCAAGAAAAAAATTAGAAAATTAAGTTATATAATTCTAAAAAATAGAGAATACCTTGCATGTCAAATTTTTCAAAAATAAGTAACTAAAAAAATTCTTAGTTCGGGAACCGTTATTTTAGTAAAATGGTTCGTTCATGAAATGAATATGTGAAAAAGAACCAAAATAGTACAGGAACATTCATTTGAAATTACAATACTAACGTAAAAGTACAAAAAATAGTAAAGGAAAATATCGCCAGCATTTAGAAAATAAAGAAAAGTTACCTAAATGTTCTAAAAATTAGAGAAAAAACTTAAATACCAAAATGTTTTTGAAACAGGCAACTCGATTACCCAAAAAAAAAAAAAAATAACATAGTCCGGGAAATGTTAGTTTACTAAAATGATTCATAAAATGGATTGTAAAAAAGCACCAAAATAGTACAGGAAAGTTTAATGAAATTGCAATACCGACGATTAAAATAAAAATCATCTAACAATAAAAAAATAGTACAGGAAAATTTCGCGAAAATTTAGAAAATGTATCAAACTTAGAAAAACTCATTAATTAAAGGAAAACATTCTTATAGACCAGGAAAAAATTCTTATAGTAAAGTAAAATGGATCAATAAAATAGATAAGAAAATAAGTTTGAAATGCAAAAAATATGACAGGAAAATCTTGCCATAATTTAGAAAATGAAGAAAAGTTTTCTAAATATTTTAAAAATTAAAGAAAATAAACTTGAATACCCACTTTATGCAAAAACAGGAAAATCCTTTGACAAAAAAAAAAATTCTTATAGCCCAGGAACCGTTAGGTTAGTAAAGTTGATATGTAAAAAAGTACCAACATATTACATGAAAATTCATTTGAAATTACAATACCAACGACAAAAGTACAAAAAATAGTACAGGAAAATATTGCCACAATTTAGAAATTGAAGAAAAGTTATCTAAATGTTCTAATAATTAGAGATAAATCTTGAATACAAAATTTTTTAAAAACAAAAAATTCTGTTAGTCTGGGATACTAAAATGATTAATAAAATGAATATGTAAAAAAAGCACAAAAAACCGTTTGAAATTACAATACCGACGAGAAAGATACAAATCGTCTAATAATAAAAAAAAATAGTACAAGAAAACCTGTCCTAAATTTATAAAAAATTATTTAATTTTCTAAAGGACCGAGATACAGGGTGTTTGAAATCAAAATGTAAAATTTACCATAAATTAAAAACGTCTAAATATTAATTTTTAATAATATTTTGACATAAACTTACTATTAAAATATTTTACCAGTGACGCACTATCAAGGTTAATGGTAATTTTCCCCCTATTTTTTACGTCACTGGAAAAAATATTATTTCTTATTTTTTTAAATTCTCTGTTCATTTTTAGTAAACAAAAAGTGAACTTTTTATGGATTGAAAATAAACAGTGTCCTAGAAATTTGCTTCTAAACAAAAATCTACATGTTCTTGATCACTTGTTAGGACTCAATATTTTTAAATTCTAATCTAGTAAGCACACGTGTCAATTTTTTTATAGCTTGTTGGTAGATCAAATATGAAAACAAATACTTTTCATGAAAAGTACCATTATAAGTTTATTAACGAAATACTAGATTTTAATGAAAAAGTGATAGGATAAGTTTGCTGTAAATAAGGACCGTCACATTTCACTGAAATTCAAGATCCATAAAAAAAGGTGAGTGCCAATATTAATTTTTCTGGGTCCGTATAATATATATAATAGGGATGTCAAAATTAAAAAAAATGTTCTCATTCCGTATAATAATTTTGTCAAAAATTGGTTTGTTTTCCGCATTTTTTTTTATAAACTTACTATATAAAATAATTTTGACGAGCCGCAACCGATAATAGTAATCTTTGATTGTGACTCACCTGCGATGGGTGGCCCCACTAAGGACGCGATCCCTTGGAAGAGCAGAAGCAGTCCGAAGGCGTTGGTCAACCTTTCTAGGCCCAAAAGGTCGACCAGAATGACAGAAGTGAGACCGACGTAGGCGCCGGCCGTGAAGCCGAAAACGGCGCTGTAGATCGCCAATGTGTAAAAGCTACTACAGAAGGCACTAATCAAAGTCGCTGAAACAAACAAACAAACAAACCAACATTTTCATTTCTCTATTGTATATTTGAAGTATTATTGTGAAGAAATATTCCACTTACCAAGTCCACAAATGGTAAGACTCCAGTTATAGATATACAGCCTATTTATCCAGGGTTTATCGGAAATGTACCCCAAAATGATCCTCCCCACGGTATTAGCACCTCCGATGACCGATATGAGCAGGCCAGCCTTCTCTATGGTCATCCCCAAGTCCTTCGCTTTGGGCACCAGGTACACGTAGGGCACATTGAATCCGATACTGGTCAAGAGGTTGCTCAGTGAAAAAATGATAAAGATTATGTCGCGGAAGAGAGAACAGTCTAACATTTCGCGAATCTATAAAATAAAAACAAAATTTGTAATTTACGAAAATCGAACGAGCGGGCTAGTACTGACCTCGCCGCTGCAAGGAAGACATCCGCAAACTTTTTTCGGTGCTGTTCCTTCGCGTCTCATGCTCTCGATAGTAGGTCTGCGTTCCATGAATTCGCCTTCTTCTCCTCTCTTCAAACTCAGTCTGAAAGAAAATACAACTATAATAATTTTTTAATTAAAAAATCCGACTTCAAAATCGCGCAGATGCTCTTAAAAATTGAGATTCTTGATTTTCTCATAGTTCATCAGATCCTGACAAATTGTATAAGGGACTACCTCTGAGGAATCCTCTTTCTAACAAAAAAAGAATCAGAGAAATCGGACAACGTGATAAAGAATTATCGCTGAAAATAGATAATGATGATGATTTTCTCATAGACCCCATCATAAGATTTTAACCAAATTTTAATGGAACTACCCCTGAGGTGCCCCCTTACTAACAAAAAAAGAATCCTAGAAATCGGACAAGACGGTAAAGAATTATCGCTAAACATACATAAAAAATGAAGAGTTTGAGGATTTTCTCATGGATTCAATTATTAGATTTTGACCAAATTTATAGGGGACCACCCTTGAGGTACCTCTTTACTAACAAAAAAAGAATCATAGAAATCGGACAAGGTGGTAAAGAATTACAGCTAAACATACATTAAAAATGAAGAGTTTAAGGATTTTCTAATGGACTCCATTATTAGATTTTGACCAAATTAATATGGAACCACCCCTGACGTATCGCCTTTCTAACAAAAAAATAATAATTGAAATCGGACACCGTGTTAAAGAATTATCACTGAATTTACATAAAAAAAATAGAACGAATTGAGAACCTCCTTTTTTGAAGTCGGTTAAAAATACTAATTAATAATGATTGTAAATAGTCAATATTTTTTAGTGTGTGGTCCGCTATAAGTGTTAGAATGGCCTCTGTGTAAGCACGAGCCATTAGTAACAAAATATTATTTAAAACCTAATCACATCGGATATCGGATGTAACAGTTGCATTACCCGATATCATGCCACTTAACATTCATTGGTTCGATCCCAAACGGAGCGTGACTTAACGAGTCGTATGAACGTCTTTTCCAGAAAACGTTTTTGAGAAATCTTTTTTAAATTGATTCCATTATTATTTTTAAACTAGTTCACTTCGGCATAAGAGCCATCAGTAGCGAGTCGTAACATTCCTTTGAATTTCTTCAGTACCCCCGCGCTGCTCCAGTTTGTATATAGACTCCGATAGGAAAAATAATGCTTTGGCAACCATGTAAAAACCTGAGATAAGGACAACCAACGGTCTGAATGTTTCTGTAGAATTTTTAGTAAAATTATGCCGTTAGATCACGTAGAATTTATTGTCGTATAATGTTGTTATATTTTTTTATAACAAAAGTCTTAAAAATTATGCTTTTTTACTTTTACATCATCATATTTTGAACACTAATAAAGCTATCGATTTTTTAAATGTAGTACAAATATGGCTGCACCTATCATACATAAAACCATACATAAAAACAGTTGCAATTTTAGTTAATTATTTACAAACCACGTTTATAGGGTTTTCTTTTGCTAATTTTTATCACGGAAAAGAGACAGTTTTGCATATACAAACACTATTTGTAGAAACAGGTAGATAAGTAAAATTTGCAATGTTTTTAGGATCTGAAAAATGTACTCTTGATAAATCAAATGAAATAACAGAAAAAATTGGTTTAATTTACTGTCTAATAATAAACCAGGATAGAAAAAAAATGAATAACTATGACCATAAAGCAAATTATCATGTAGATTCTTTAAGATTTCTCCTCGATATTTCGTATACCATTAAGAAATACCCTGTATATTCATAAAACAAATTAGATCCGTACACTGAACTAAATTGAAAAATGAAAGTAGAGATAGAAACAATATTTTGTATCTATAATTTTTGGATTTACACTGGGCGCAATCCGAACCTGTCCGCCATTCTAACACTTATAGCGGACCACACACTAAAAAATATTGACTATTTACAATCATTATTAATTAGTATTTTTAACCGACTTCAAAAAAGGAGGTTCTCAATTCGTTCTATTTTTTTTATGTAAATTCAGTGATAATTCTTTAACACGGTGTCCGATTTCAATTATTATTTTTTTGTTAGAAAGGCGATACGTCAGGGGTGGTTCCATATTAATTTGGTCAAAATCTAATAATGGAGTCCATTAGAAAATCCTTAAACTATTCATTTTTAATGTATGTTTAGCTGTAATTATTTACCACCTTGTCCGATTTCTATGATTCTTTTTTTGTTAGTAAAGAGGTACCTCAAGGGTGGTCCCCTATAAATTTGAATCCATGAGAAAATCCTCAAACTTTTTTTTTTTGGAGTGAGGGTAGCCATATGTGAGTAGTAGGGATTAAGTGTAAGGGTTAAAGAAAAGGTCCTTTATTTCTCACAAGTCAATTTAATTGGCGACCGGTTTCGAAGCTGTCACTTCATCATCAGGCACACCTAAATGGAATGTCAAGGAGTCAGTTGTAATAAAAAAAAAAAAACAATTATAAAAGCATGAACGGACTTTAACATATACAAAATAACAGAAAAAACAGAAAAAACACAAAAGAAGTTAAACAATAACCTTGACTCACCTTGACTATTTCCATAAAGGAAGCGCTACATAAAGTTTAACAAAACGAGTTAAAAAACGAGTTAAAAAAGTCATATGTAATACAATAGTATTTTTTTTTTATGACTTTTTTAACTCGTTTTGTTAAACTTTATGTAGCGCTTCCTTTATGAAAATAGTCAAGGTGAGTCAAGGTTATTGTTTAACTTCTTTTGTGTTTTTTCTGTTTTTTTTTTGTTATTTTGTATATGTTAAAGTCCGTTCATGCTTTTATAATTGTTTTTTTTATTACAACTGACTCCTTGACATTCCATTTAGGTGTGCCTGATGATGAAGTGACAGCTTCGAAACCGGTCGCCAATTAAATTGACTTGTGAGAAATAAAGGACCTTTTCTTTAACCCTTACACTTAATCCTCAAACTCTTCATTTTTTATGTATGTTTAGCGATAATTCTTAACCATCTTGTCCGATTTCTATGATTTTTTTTTTGTTAGTAAGAGGGTACCTCAGGGGTAGTTCTATTAAAATTTGGTTTCATTTGCGACTAAAAATATGTATGTTTTCAACACTTACTTCGATCTGTACGACGGTATATTCATCAAACTCCCCTGGTAGAAAATATCGGGCCTGTCTAAAGGTCCATGCCGTCTCCAACCCTGGCTGCCGAATTGGTAGTGGTGTCTGTATCTGTTCTCCGATTGGGTCAACATGGGTTGGCTCAACGCCAGCCTGGCCATATCGTTTTGCGCGAATTTTCCCGTCGATGGTACGTTTCCGTTCGGTCCGTATTTGGTGCTTTTGGGCATGGTGAAGTGCGCTACGCTGTGCGGTCGGTGCATGTTGCCGTTTATGGTACCTGGAAAGAGAACGAAATTCGCAAAAAGTACTCGAGGCGTCGCTGAAAGGGTGTGTGTGGCAACGTTGCGGTTGATTTATAAGATAAAGGGAGAAATACAGGATGTCCCATTATGAATGGAGCATAGAACAACTGAAGGTTCTCTGATTAAAAAGCGAAACAAGCTTAGGTAAAATGTTACTCGTTTCCGAAATACAGGGTGTTAAAGTTGGAAATTCAAATATTAATGGTTATAATGTTTTTATTACTTAATTTGACTAAATTCGGCAAACGTTTTCGGTGTTTTAAGATACAACTATCAGCAAAAAAATAAGTTTAATAAACTTTGCCAATGGCGTACGGCATGGGTAAGTAACATCTTAATATCGTCTAAATTTTAGGCCACAAAGCGTATGCTTACTCCATATTTTAATTTATTTTTAAATTTTGATTTTTTTTTTCATAAGTTCCCAAAAACTACAAAAAATTAAAAATTTTAGTCCAAATAAGTTTTTGGACAGTGGCGTAAAATTTAGAAAGGATGAAGGTATTAATTTAAAGCCGCATTCTTTGAGCAGCAAATTTGATCGGATCTATATATACTAAAGGGTATAAAGAAAAGAAAATATTTATGTGGATTTCAGTGTAATAAGTTTAGTATAATTTTCATTATCGTAATAATTTAAATCAATTTTCTCATAAATTGTATAATAATCATCTTTATACAATAATTGTACAATTTGTGTACTATTTCAGTGCTATTTGCCGTACTATTTCTATACAATTTGGAGCACAACAGATTTCATTTCAGTTGATTGTGAGCTAAGACTTTTATTAAATATATCTAAAGCCATTTTCAACTAGGGTGCTTTATTCAATAATTAAAGATTTTCTTTATTTGGCATTATTTTTATTGAAATTTCCCGAAATTGATTTAATTATGGTGCCTAAACCATTAAGACGTTCACGTGGTTTTGTTCAAGTGATGGGTTTAATAAATTGATTAATTTGTGTAAAAATTTCATTTTCTAATGTTTACTATTTGAAATGTAACGAAGACGTCCTCAGAATCTGACTTGGTATCGTTCATACATTTATTTTTCGTTCTTTATAGTTTCTTTTTCGTTCTTTTCCGTTCTTTTTCGTTCTTTTTCGTTTTCTTTTTCGTTTTCTTTTTCGTTCTTTTTCGTTCTTTTTCGTTCTTTTTCGTTCTTTTTCGTTCTTTTTCGTTCTTTTTCGTTCTTTTTTCGTTCTTTTTCGTTCTTTTTCGTTCTTTTTCGTTCTTTTTCGTTCTTTTTCGTTCTTTTTCGTTCTTTTTCGTTCTTTTTCGTTCTTTTTCGTTCTTTTTCGTTCTTTTTTCGTTCTTTTTCGTTCTTTTTCGTTCTTTTTCGTTCTTTTTCGTTCTTTTTCGTTCTTTTTCGTTCTTTTTCGTTCTTTTTCGTTCTTTTTCGTTCTTTTTCGTTCTTTTTCGTTCTTTTTCGTTCTTTTCGTTCTTTTTCGTTCTTTTTCGTTCTTTTTCGTTCTTTTTCGTTCTTTTTCGTTCTTTTTCGTTCTTTTTCGTTCTTTTTCGTTCTTTTTCGTTCTTTTTCGTTCTTTTTCGTTCTTTTTCGTTCTTTTTCGTTCTTTTTCGTTCTTTTTCGTTCTTTTTCGTTCTTTTTCGTTCTTTTTCGTTCTTTTTCGTTCTTTTTCGTTCTTTTTCGTTCTTTTTCGTTCTTTTTTCGTTCTTTTTCGTTCTTTTTCGTTCTTTTTCGTTCTTTTTCGTTCTTTTTCGTTCTTTTTTTTTCGTTCTTTTTCGTTCTTTTTCGTTCTTTTTCGTTCTTTTTCGTTCTTTTTCGTTCTTTTTCGTTCTTTTCTTTCGTTCTTTTTCGTTCTTTTTCGTTCTTTTCGTTCTTTTTCGTTCTTTTTCGTTCTTTTTCGTTCTTTTTCGTTCTTTTTCGTTCTTTTTCGTTCTTTTTCGTTCTTTTTCGTTCTTTTTCGTTCTTTTTCGTTCTTTTTCGTTCTTTTTCGTTCTTTTTCGTTCTTTTTCGTTCTTTTTCGTTCTTTTTTCGTTCTTTTTCGTTCTTTTTCGTTCTTTTTCGTTCTTTTTCGTTCTTTTTCGTTCTTTTTCGTTCTTTTTCGTTCTTTTTCGTTCTTTCTCGTTCTTTTTGGTTCTTTTTCGTTCTTTTTCGTTCTTTTTCGTTCTTTTTCGTTCTTTTTCGTTCTTTTTCGTTCTTTTTCGTTCTTTTTCGTTCTTTTTCGTTCTTTTTCGTTCTTTTTCGTTCTTTTTCGTTCTTTTCGTTCTTTTTCGTTCTTTTTCGTTCTTTTTCGTTCTTTTTCGTTCTTTTTCGTTCTTTTTCGTTCTTTTTCGTTCTTTTTCGTTCTTTTTCGTTCTTTTTCGTTCTTTTTCGTTCTTTTTCGTTCTTTTTCGTTCTTTTTCGTTCTTTTTCGTTCTTTTTCGTTCTTTTTCGTTCTTTTTCGTTCTTTTTCGTTCTTTTTCGTTCTTTTTCGTTCTTTTTCGTTCTTTTTCGTTCTTTTTCGTTCTTTTTCGTTCTTTTTCGTTCTTTTTCGTTCTTTTTCGTTCTTTTTCGTTCTTTTTCGTTCTTTTTCGTTCTTTTTCGTTCTTTTTCGTTCTTTTTCGTTCTTTTTCGTTCTTTTTCGTTCTTTTTCGTTCTTTTTCGTTCTTTTTTCGTTCTTTTTTCGTTCTTTTTCGTACTTTTTCGTTCTTTTTCGTTCTTTTTCGTTCTTTTTCGTTTTATTACGTTCTTTTTCGTCTTGGACTGATCTAAAATCGATTACTATTTTGGAAATGTGGAAAATTCATGACCCCTAACTTAAGATTTAAGAGTCCAGGATTATCAGATGTTTTGTGGAATGTTGGTTGAGCCAGTTGCAGTTTATGAAGTCGATGTTTGCGAGTTTACCTGTAATATTCTTTGATATGAATTATTTCCCATTTATTATTTTGTTGATTAGTAATTTCTGCTTTATTTTTTATCTAGCAATTTTATTAATGTATAAAGGTATATAAAGGTATAACTGATTTTTTGCTGAAAGGTGAATCTTATCACATAAAAAACGTTTGACGAATTTAGTAAAATTATACTGAGTATTAAAAAAATATAGCCATTAATAATTTTTGAATTTTCAACTGTAATACCTTGTATTTTGGAAATGAGTAAAATTTTACCTAAGCATGTTTCATTTGATCGTCTTGGTTACTCTATGTCGCATTCTTAATGGGTCACCCTGTATAAATAACAATGTTCCTGATAAAAATGTTTTAATTCTACGGGATGAGAAAGATTGAATTTGAAGTAAAACATGATATGTGGACTATCTTTTTCAGGACAAACTTAATTTTAAAAACAATACATACAGGGTGACCCATTAGTGCGTGGAAGTTATGTTTCTTTTATCGCTATTATTTTTAATTAATCAATTGAAATAAAAATTTGTCACATTTATGACCTATATTATAATTACAAATAGTGAAATAATATACTGGGTGTACAATTGTTATAGATCTTTAAAGATTAGAAAGTTGGTGTATTAAATCGCGTGTATATAAAAATAAACTTGATTCTCTCAGACGTTTCAGTTAATCCTTACTTTGTATTTACTAAATATTTTAACTTAACTGTCAATTACCAAATTTTTTTTATAATATTTTTCATGAACAATTTTTCAGTATTTTTAAAATTTTTTTTTTCAATAAATTGGTATTGGAACGTAGCATTTTTCTCTAAAATCACTGGTGAAAAATATACAGGGTGAGTCATTTAAAAACGTCGACATTCAAAATGCCCCGATGCAACGGAACACCCTGTATATTTCGCAGTATTTTGTAAATATGCAAAAAAGTAAATCTTGTGACTTTTATCTAAAACATTTTCACATATTTCTTATGATAAGAGATATATTGGTCTTCCTAGCACTAATGGGTAATCCTGTATAGGTACATATAAATAAATCGCCGTAGAACCCTTTAAGGTTAATAATATGATGTAAATTGACGATATTGCTGCAAAAAAGGGGATAACTCCATTTTTGTAACAAAAAAAAAACGATCGGATTTTTGAGAACAATAGTTTCACAGTTACAGTTCATCAAATTTCTAGAGGCTTTCGACGGCTAGACAGAGAAAGCACTACTGACAGGCATCCCGACGGATTTAGGCAATGAAAGTACACTCTGCGCATCAAGTATTTCACTATTTCATTCAGACGTAAATGTCAGATGTAAATTTCGCTAAAACATTTCTTTTATTTTCGTTTGTGTTTTTTGCTCATTACAGTTTAATAGAACCTAAGTATGGAGTTTAATAGCAAATTAAGAGGCCGCGTGATTAACAGTCAATCTCGCGAAATAATAGCCAATGTTATAGAGTTTATGAGAAAAGAATAAGGAAACTTTAATTCACCTTCAATACCATTTAAAAATGTAAATGATTGTGTTGCTGCAGCCACAGGAGTATCTAAAAACACTGTCGTCCGCATTTCTGGAGAGAAAAAAAGAATCGATAACCGTGAGACATCGGAATTTTCATCACCAAGAAAAACCATTAAAAAACCAAAAACAGTTAATGATATAGATGAAGCTGCCCAAGAATCAAATTTTATTTTTTTATTATTAGATAGCTATTTTTGTTTCTTAGTTGTGTTCATTTACAGGCTCAATTTTTTTCCGTTTCTCCTTTTTGATTTTATATGGGGTTTCAAGTTGTTTTTGACTTATTTCGACGTAAATCACAACAACACACTTTTTTAATAAAGCAAACAAGTGTTAAGAGGTATATGTACGTGTAAACTACAATTACAAAAAATTGATATGAAACCCATGAAATCACCAACAAAAATGTAAAGCTAGCTTCCGTACTAGAACATGGTGATATTCCCCTGTTATTTTTTATAAAATTATAAGAGAAATAAATTTTTTTCTAAATAGTATAGTTTATTATTTTGTAGAAAAACAAAATTTCGAAAATTTTAGTAATGTTTCAGAAACAACCGTTATTAATAATAGGTACCATTTTCCTTAATTAGGTAGAAATAAAATATAAACTATTTCCACGATTTACAAAGGCCTACAAAAAAATTATAGGTATTTTCCGCTATCCTATAAAATTTATATTTTCTGACTCAATTTCAAAAGGTTGAAGGAATTCCAAAACACCTTTTATGGCATAATAATTATTTTCAATTCTACATACTATCTTTAGCTGCTTTTAAAAACGTTCTAAGAAAGTCCAATCAGACCAATTTAATCCCTAAACTATTCCACACTTTTAAAATTTAATTACCTAAAAATATTAAAAACTATTTAAAATAACTTGTTTAGCAGACTGTACAATAGCTATCTTAGTCACACGTAGCGCGTTCTCTGTCTGGGCGTCGAACACCTCTAGAAATTTGATGAACTGTAACTCATGATTTTTATTCGTTAATGGACTTGTTTTTCCTTGATAGAGCTTTGAAAAACATGAAAATACATTCAGATAATTTTTTCCCTTCTATTTATTTAATGCCTTTTATTACTGCAACAACGCTGTCTAAAACTAGTTATCGTCTTCAGAAATTTGAGTAATTTTATCAGGTTATAGGTTAAAGTGCTTATTTCTTTTTGAGAAATTTTAAAAACAAACCCTACATTAAAAGGTAAGTTATCTACTGGTTTACCAACGAAAAAAGACGAAAAGTGAAAATAATTTACTTTTTCTAATTTTGACATTTTTTATATCACCAGTTGCAAAAATAAAACAAATAAAAACAAACCTTTTTTTTTAAATCAACATATACATTGGTATTTTTTAGTTTATAATCCAAGTTTATATCCAAGGAAGGTTTGCCATACAAAAATAGATTTTGTTACTGAATTTACAACCTGATAATAATTCTATTTTGGTTATTTTTTCCATTCTAAATCTGCACAAAATTATCAAAACACAATACACCACAAAATTACTCGCTTTCTTGAAAACTAAATAACTTTAACAAGCAAGATAAATACTCTTAAGAATAAATTATATTATTTTCTATTTTTTTAAATATGCCAATGAAATGAACGAAATTATGCAACCAACAATGCACGAACGTATTATTGGTTGTATAGATGTTAATAATTTTTTACCAAACACAATTTTATAAATAATCTAGTCAAATTTAAAAACAATATATTGCGAAATGCCTTATTTTACGTAACGAGTGAATCTTTGCGGGACTAGCAAAGCGAGACCTCGCAAAATGAACGAGTTACAAAAATAGCTATTATCATATGATTTAATCTCACAATTTTATCCTATTTGTAAAATCATTTAAATTTAAAGAAAAATTAATTATAGCTAATATAATTTGATCATTTTAATAATAATTTTGAAATCATCGGTTCAGAAGCTCTATAAATACCAATACATTTGAGTTTGCCGCTCAAAAAACCACCGAATTAGAGACTTATTTGGAGTTGTCCCCTTTTTGCAGCGAAGTTTTCAATTGTGATACATATAAAGCGTTTTCCTTTGGGGTATGGTTCTGTCATTGTTAACGTTAAATTGACAGTATTTTTGACAGCGGTTCAGATTTTAGTTTGTATTCATGACGTCATGACATAAAGCCAATGGAATGAATAGGTCATGGGTTTGGTCAATAATTTGTGATTTTAGTAAACACCACGTGATGTCTCATTTTTCTCATATATTCTTTTGTTTCGGTTCTTTTCTACTAGTTGTTTAGTTGTTTCGTATTTGAAATAATAAGATTATATTTTAAATATAGAGACCAATTACATAAACTAATTTAGTCTTCTATTGTCGCTTCAATTTAAAAAAAGATGAGAATAACTTTGTTAAATAAGGATAGAACATACATTTTAATCCAATGTTCATAAATTATTATTTTGTTTAAAAAAGATATATTAAAACAATCTTTATTTCATCAGCGATATACGTGCCACATATAAAATTGTCATTGTCAAAACACAGAACAAAAGAATGAACGCAATATAACCATGTTCAGCAATTACGTATATCTTTTGTTTCATTGGTATATAGTATCAATATAAATGACGTTTACGAAAAGAACATGTTTGGTTCTAATTTATGGTAAACTAGAACCGGAACCAAACCTCAAAGTAAAACGCACATAGTTGATTCATTTTGCAAAGTGAGCAACTTTTCTGAATATCCCGAAAAAAAACATTTTGTTTAGATTTCCTATCTAAACGCGCAACCTACCGTACCCACCGTTGTCGTGAACCAAACTGGTGGTTAGCTGATGCACGTCATGGTCCGAAATATGAAGATCGGCTTGTGCTTCTGATGCCTTCAACTCCTTCCCCTTGATGCTTCTGGTACTGGCGACTGGTTCCAAAGGCCTGAACAACGCGCCGAACAGTATACATTCCAGAATTACCCCGCCGATGATCACTATCGATCCCCTCCATCCGTATTCGGCTAGCAATTTCGAGATTATCGGTGCGAAAATGAAGGTTCCGAACCCTGAACCGCATACGGCGATACCGGTAGCTAGAGATCTCTTTTTCTCGAAGTAGGTGGTTACGCTAACTATGGCCGGTAGGTAGATGAGCCCAAAACCCATCCCGGTACCTACGCCTACCGTTAGACATAGTGTCAGCACGTTGCGCGCCCAAAAAGAGGATACCAAACAGACGGAAGCTATTAGGGAACCCGCTATGGTCACCGCTCTGCAACCGTATCGGTTCACGAAGTAGCTGGATAGAGGACCTGCAATTTAAAAAAAAACCATGTTGATTTTCAGTTCTATAGATAGACTTTTCGTGAATAAAAATATTAATTGGTCCTGTAAAAATATTTAGAAAACTAAAAGCGTACACGCTGTGTCCCAGATTGCTGCTGCATGTAACGGCTATCTCGATTATTATAAGAGCTACACAATGGGTTAAATGGGTAAAGTTTCTCAGGATTCTATTACCAGTTCAGAACTGCTATAACATTTAATTTTATTGCTTTTGAAATAATCGCGAAAAATCAAAATGATACGTTTTTGACAAACCCCCGTATCTCATTTATTTGATAATATACGGTATTTTGGTTTAGACATTCTGTGGCCACTTTAAAACCCATTAAAACTAAATGTCATAAATCTTGGACAACTAAAGGAATAAGAACATCATCTAAAAATATGAGGTCACTCATGTATATTAAAAAGTACACAGATAATCCCCTAATATTAAACTATATCAACAACTACAGAATATTGTATCGGAAAATCACCAAATCTGCTAAGAAAAACTATTACAAAAATCGCATCGCAAGAGCTAAAAACTCCTCCAAAGAAACCTGGTCTATAATAAATGACTTAAGGAATAAAACCCGTTCTTCAAACAGTGTAAATCCTAGCCCAGATGAACTAAACAATTATTTCGTAAATGTAAGTAAAAATATCAAATCTAACATAGCTCCGAGTCAGGATGCTCTCTCCTTCCTCCTACCTACTAAAAGGATCACTGAAAGTTTCTTCCTAAGACCAGTAGACAAGCATGAACTAGTGCAAACCATAAACAACATCCAAAATAAATTTTCCTGTGGAACTGATGGCCTGTCCACCAAAATATTTCTAAATATACCGGATGTAGTAATCAACATTTTAACTTCACTGATTAATGAATCCTTTGAAATTGGTCTCTTTCCTAACTGTCTAAAAACAGCTATAATAATCCCACTTCATAAAGGTGGCGACAAAACCAAAACCTGTAACTATAGACCTATCGCGTTATTGCCTACCTTATCGAAGATAGTAGAACGGCTAATGAAAAACCGTCTTTTGCCCTTTCTTTTCAAGCATAACATCCTCACAGCTCATCAGTATGGCTTTCTACCTAAAAAATGCACTAGCGACGCAATGTTTTCCGTTCTTAATGAAATATACACATCACTTAATGATAAACTTTTCACCGCTTCAGTATTTTGTGACTTCGCAAAGGCCTTCGATTGTGTAAATCATGATATTTTAATTAATAAGTTACAAATTTATGGCATACGGGGTTCTCCTTTACAATGGTTTAAAACTTACCTAGAAAATAGAAATCAACAGGTGCGGGCGAATGGTGAGGATTCTACAAATCTAGCAATAAGCAGTGGAGTACCTCAAGGATCAGTATTAGGTCCAATTTTGTTTTTATTATTCATCAACGACATCACAGACTTAAGAATAAGTGGTAGAATTACTTTATTTGCTGATGACACCAGTGTAACCTGGAATAATTCTAACATGCAGACATTACAATCTATCATAAGTGAAGATCTAGTGACTATTAAGTCCTGGTCTGATTCGAATGGACTTTGTTTCAACACCAGTAAAACTGTAGCATTGTCTTACAGAGGTACTTTACAACCTATAACTTTAAACAATAATCTGATCCAAACGGTGACTTCAATCAAGTTTTTAGGTCTTTATATAGACGATTCTCTAAAATGGTCTGCTCATAGCAAAAAAATTATCCTCCGCATGTTTTGCCATTAAATCGGTTTCTAAAGAGCTGACTCCTTCTACTGCATTAATAACCTACTTTTCCTTATTCGAATCTCACCTTCGCTATGGTTTACCTTTCTGGGGTTCTTGTAGCTTATACCTTTTCGAATCTATTTTTAAACTGCAAAAAAGAGCAATCCGCTATGTATTTGGTTTAAGTAGTAGGACACATTGCGAAAATTACTTCAAAAATTTCAAAATTCTAACCCTTCCTGCTCTATTTATTTTCGAATCCGTCTGCTTAGTTCGCAAGCACATTCAAAATTTATCCGAAAGACCGACTCGTAGATATCCTACAAGAAATTTAGAGACTGATGTTTATTTAACAATGCCCACTTCTGACCTATTAAAACATTCCATTACCTACAATGCCAAAAAATTGTATAATAACCTTCCGATGCAATTAAAATCTATAAATACATACGATAAGTTCCGAAGACTGGCTAAAGCTTTTCTTCTAGAAAGACCATATTACACAGTAGCAGAATTTTATAACGTACCTTAGACATTTGAGTTCCACATACAATGGCATTAATTAAATAATTAAATATTAAAGTTTAAATTCAAATTTAAATTTAAAAATTAAATTAGAATAATTATAATGACGGATATTGCATATCCATTGCAATTGTTATTCCTATTTTGTCTGTTTGTTTCTGTTTGTTTTTTCTGCTGTTTAGTTATTTTTATAATATGTTTAGTATTTAAGTTACACGCTTTGTCTATAAAATTTTTGTAAATTTTTTTACGACAATAAAGCATATCTCTCTCTCTCTTTTTTAAGGTCTTTATAATAAAAAATAAAGCAAAATAATATCTCTTTCCATTTTCGAAAAAATGACTATAACTTTGTTTTTTTTTATGGATGCCATATTGGATTTATATTGCAATAACAACATTTTTTATTCTCTTTTCAAAAATGTATCACAACATGGTTCTTCAAAAAAGACAAGCTGCTTTATTACCATTAGTAAGTTTATTGCTAAAAATACCCGCACCACCGCTATTTTGAACAACATATAAGTTCTTTTGTAAGGAGTAGAAGAAACACATCCGTTGGGGAATCTATATTGTCTGGTATATTCAGACCGAATGACTCGTTAAAACTTTTTTTATAAGAAATGCAGTATTTGTAGTTTCTAGTCCAAATTGTATTTGAAAGAAAATATTTTCTTGTACTTATATCCAACGGAATGTCATCGTCACTTTCGTCTGATTCGCAACGTAGTACCAACTATAATCCCGATAATACATCAAAATATCAACTTGATTCACTAATGAGTTTTTTGAGAAAAGAAGTAGAGGGTGGAGAAAAGGTTTCATTAGTAAGGTCTAGCTTTGGATTAAATACTTTTAAAAAAACTGATGAAAATATGCCTAATACGTTTTCTATTCCTACCGCTTTCACCTTAGTAAACAATGATACCAGAAAAAAGAAATATAGTCCTAAATGTGTATTTTGTAAAGATTCACATGTCTCCATTGAATGTAACAATGAAGATATTAAGAAATTATCATTTGAGGATAAAAAAAAGATGTTGGTAAAAAGTGGTAGATGTTATCTTTGTCTCAAATTTGGTCATTTTTCAAAAAGTTGTAGAAATAAATTAGAGTGCTCGCTTTGTAAACAAAAACACGTTGATATAATGTGTCCTGCAGGGACATCGAATTATTTAAAACAAAGTTTTCCTGTGGCTGTTGAAAATTTGTCGAATATTCAGTTCTTCAATGATACTTTTCTACAAACTCTGTGTGTTAAAGTTATTAATAGGTCCAAAAGTCAATTTATTAGGGCAATTATAGATTCAGGCTCTCAAAAATCGTATATCACTATTCACACTGCTTTAAAATTGGGTTATGAAATTCAGGGTCAGGAAGATATAGTTCATTCTCTATTTGGGGGTACAACGTCTAAAATAACATGTCATACTGTTTTTAGGGTATCCTTAATGAATTTAAAAGATAACTAACTACATGTGTAATTTTAATGCACTGAATCAGCCTTTAATTTGTAACCAGGTAACTAGTATTCGAAGTGGCCCTTGGAATGAAGAATTGCAGTCTTTAGGTGTTACAATTTCTGAGACGAGAGGACCCTATAGAGGTATTAATAGGAGCCGACATAGCAGGGAAATTATTAACATGTAGAAAATATGTTCTAAAATGTGGACTAGTCGCGGTTGAAACTAAATTGGGATGGACGTTAATGATAATTACTCTAAAATTTCTTCTTCAATGGTGGTCACCTCACTGTTGTCTAATAATGAGTTATCAAACTTATGGTCGTTAGATGTTCTTGGTATCGAAAGCCCTGAGCAAAGAGCATCTAAGAAGGAAAATGATGAAAAATCAATGAAAACATTTTTAGAATTTGTCACTGTTAATAGTGAGGGTCGTTATGAGGTTGTTTTGCCTTGGGTTAAAGTTCATGCACCTTTGGGAAACAGCTTTGACAGTGCTAAGAAGCGCTTGGATAACTTGATGAGTAAACTTCAAGTATATGGTTGTTATGAAACTTATAATGAAGTACTTTCTGAATGGTTAAGTGAAGGTATCATAGAAGAAGTTTCTCGAGTAAATTTAGAATGCTATGAAATGTTTTATTTGCCACATAGACATGTCTTAAAATTAAGTGGTTCTACTACCAAATTAAGGCCGGTTTTTGATGCTTCAGCAAATAAAAAAGGACATCCTTCACTCAACCAATGTTTAGAGAAGGGAATAAATCTAATTGAACTTATTCCAACCATTTCTAAAATTTAGATTACGAAGGTTAGGGGTAATCTATGACATAAGAAAGGTATTTCTCCAAATCAGTGTGAATGAATCTGACAGAAATGCGTTAAGATTTTTGTGGTACAAACCGAATGGGGAGTTAACAGTGTTTAGGTATGTTAGGGTAGATTTTTGATTTTACCTCTAGTCCCTTTCATTTGGCTGCTGTTATTAAGTACCACTTAGATAAAGTTTTGCATTGTGATAGGTATTCGAAATGAGTTCTAAATCAATTAAAAGATAGTTTCTATGTGGACAATGTAACTGAATTGACGGATTTTATTAAGGAACATAATGTTGGAGGGCAAATTTGAATTGCGAGGCTGGGAGTATACTTTAACTAATGAAAAAGAATTAGACGAAAATTCTAGATGTATATCATCGGTTTTAGGACTCCAATGGGATCGCAAATTAGATACAATTGAAGTAAGTTTGGGTTGGTTAGAGAATATAAATTTGCATACAATTACAAAAAAAACTATTTTGTCAGTAACTAATAGGCTTTTTGATCCTATAGGTTTCACTTGCCCGGTTCAACTGTTTTCTAAATTGTTACTTCAGAGACTGTGTCAGTCCAAATTGAAATGGGATGCAACAGTACCTGGATATATTATGGAAAACTTTCTGATGTGGTTGAAAGACTTACCATTACTAGCTGAGATTCACATTCCAAGGTGGTTATTTGTTAAACCGTCCTCCGAAATTAGTTTACACATGTTTTCTGACGCTAGTAAGGATGCTTACAGTGCAGTAGTCTTTTTAAGGTGTGAAAGTCAAGGCAAAGTGCATGTACAGTTAGTTCAAGGAAAATCTAAGGTTGCTCCTTTTAAAAACCTATCAATTCCTAGACTTGAATTATTAGGTGCAACGATAGGTAGTAGGTTAGTAATATCAGTTGCCGAAAGTTTAAATGATTTGGATTTCTGAGTTTATTGTTGGTGCGATTCTACTGCCGTTCTCGCATGGATCCGAAATGATGAATACTAAAAACCTTCTGTGTGGAACAGGTGTACAGAAATTCGTAAACTTGTAGATAAGAGTCGTTGGTTTTACGTTCCTAGTCAACTAATTCCAGCTGATTTGATTTAAAGAGGTTGTTCCGTAAAACGGTTAGTTTCTAGTTATTGGTGGGAGAGGTCCAATATGGTTAAAAGATCCAAAAAGTTGGGCAAAACAAAATTTTGAGTCCGACAAACAAGAAATTTTAGAGGAAAAAAGGTCCACAAAATCTTTTTTGAACGCAAAAAAAGATTTTTCTTCGTTCTATTATTTTACAAAATACAAAATGACGATGCTGAAGTTGCTCTTATTCGTTTAGTTCAACAGGAATCCTTTGAGGGGCTAAAAGAAACAAACATTCTTTACATCCATTTTTTGATTCGGATAAGGTCATGCGTATAAAACCTAAAATAACCCAGAGAGAGGATACTTTCGATTTTTTGTATCCAATTCTTTTGCCATCAAAACATTTTATCTCAAATGGTATAGTTATGTATTATCATTTACAAAATTTCCATGTAAGTCTGTTAGGATTAATTTCAAAAATTCGTGAAAAATTCTGGATTTTAAAAACAAGAAAGACGGTTAGGGCTATTTTAAAAAGGTGTGTGGTATGTCAGAGATATTAGGCAAAAAGTTTGTTAACTGACTCAGTAGTGCTTTCCGGTGATCGAGTGAGAGATACCGCGGTATTTGAAATTGTAGGAATCAGAAGAAAAGGTTTGGATATGTATATTCACGTGTGCGGTTTACCGTGCTGTTCATCTAGAAGTAGTTCCTTCATTGTCAGCTGAGTCTTTTTTACTAGCTCTCAGACGTTTTATTGCCAGAAGAGGTCGTTGTTCTGTAATTTACTCGGATAATAGTACAAATTTTGTAGGAACATTCAAGTATTTGCAGAAAATAGATTACGACATAATTCAAAGAGAAACCACAGCACAAAGGATCACGTGGAAATTTAATCCTGCTACCGCAGTCTGGTGGGGCGGATGATGGGAGCGTATTATAAAAATACTTAAACAGTTGTTAAGAAAGCAATTAGACAGGATAGTAAATTCTCGCCCGCTAACATATATTGGCGAAGAAAACGAAGATTTAGTCCCTCTAACACCGTCAATGTTTTTACAGGATGTGACAGAAATAGGCACACCAGACCTAGATGCAGCAGACAAAACACCCTTAAGAAGACATATAAGATATTTATACCGACTTAGAGCCGATTTGCGAAAGAGATTCCGAGAAGAATATTTGGGAAAATTGATATTATTAAATTGTAGACGCAAAAGTAAGGAAATTAAAGTGGGATATTTGGTGTTCATAGAATCGGACAAGAAGAAACGAATGGATTGGTTGTTAGGTTGGTTATCGAACTTTTTCCTGGAAAGGACCAGAAGGTTCATCTGGTCAAATTGAAGACAAGTTCCAGAATGCTGTTAAGACCAACCCAACGATTACATCTACTAGAATTAGATTAATTGGAACAAGAGGGTGTAAAAGAAGGTCTAATTAAATGTAAAAAGGCTGAGGAGGAAAAACAGAACTCTAATGAAACTTTAGAGCCTATAAATCTAAAGCCCACTTGTTGTACTTTCCCCTACAGAAGCGAAGCTGGACAAGAAACAGAAGAGAAACATGAAGAAAGAAGAAATGTACCTGAAGCAAGAGGAGAGATAGAACCGACAACAATAAGAACTAGATGCGGAAGAGAAAGTAGAGCGCCCAAACGATTCTAGCCATTAAATTGATTGAGTCATCAGAGAAGACTCAAGGTAGGAGTGTTAAAAATGGATTAGCAAATAGTTTTGATTTTCTAATTGTTTTTATATTGTTGTTATTGTTTGTTGTATATATTGTATATAAAAACAACTGTTGAAGGGAATGTCAATAAAAAAATAGAGAAAAGCTGTCAACCCTTTCTTGAAAGTCTCAAGCCAGTTTTAAGGTATTTCCTCTCGTATTTTCAACCCTTAGGGCGACCATATTAGCCGCTGGCTCCAGGTAGGAGTGCGTTCCATTCCTTTCAATTACGATTGGAAAAAACGTCGTAGAACATTCAAGTCTGCATTTTTAAAAACATAAAATAGCCCATATTAAGTAAGCACTGCATTGGTTATCTGGCAAATTCAGTATTTTTTTAAAAAATTTAGATGCGAATTTTACAGGAAACTGATGTAAAGCAGACGCGATTGTCCAACAACGTTTTTTTTTCCAAACATGTTAAAAGAAATCCCATATGGATCCAACTTTAAGGCACACATTGTATGTCAAATTCAATGACAGAATGATTTATTTTTGTAAAAAGTGAATTTTCATTGGAACACAAATTATGTCACACAAATATCATGCGTATTGACTTTAATTAAACTATACGAGGACTGCATAATATTTTTTGTTCATGACCGTGACCGTGATGAATCAATAATTTCAGAATCACTATAGAGATTAAATAAATCGAGTCTTTACCTGAACAAAGGGTAATTCCAACCAAAATAGATAAAATCCATGACGTGATGCCTTTTCCTTCTTTAAAATAATCTAAAAATTCGTCGTAAAATATGCCGAAACAGTAGGTGACTCCATCAGCTGTAACAAAAAAAAAATAAATAAATTTCATTCCACCCAACATAATTATTGTGATTATCGACAATTTTATTTTTGGTAAATTTTACAGATAAATTATGTAAGTATAAATAGAAAATAATTGTTAGTGGTTTTGTTTATTATCATTATCATGGTTATTTTTATTGTTATAGAAGCAAATTGTTTATTTGAACGCCGTATCTTGCGTTGCGATAATATTTTATTTTGTAGTGCTAAAGTTCAAATTTACGGAAAAAATTGACAGTATGTAATTTAAATGCCGATCTGAAAATATACAAAATATTTAGATGTGTTTAATTAGTACAAATAAAATGAAGAAATGTGGAAAAAGGAAAACATACTGAGAAGATGGACATTATTTTCACTAATATGTCCCTTGGTTCTTGCATAAAATAGGAAATGTGACTACTGTAACTATCTCTTTTTCTTGCAAAATCTCGTTGATTGTAGTTACAATTTAATAAATTCCAGGAATTTTTTCGAGCACGCTTGTAATGAAAGTATCATTTTATTCGAGATTAAAATCTCGATTAAAGATCTGAGTATTCGCAACTTATAAACCATATCTGGTTCAAGCTACATACACAAGGTTGAGACTTGAGATTCTGTAATCTCGTATAATAAAAATACGTCTCAATGTTATCTAACAAGGTAATCGATGTTTTCCATATTTTGCACTGTATTGAGAGGATTAGCATAAGTATAAGTACTTTATCTAAGACAAAATTAAAAGCAATTAATACTCAAGTGCCTATAAATATATTCTTTAAATATTTGTCTTATCAAATAAATACAGAAAGGCACAAAGTCAAAAGTCTTTTAACACACAAACACTTTTTTGTTATCAAGTTATCAAGATTCAAAAAGCTCTAATAAAACTTACAGTGAGGACGTATAGGTTTGAATAAATTCGATATATTTTTTTTCTCTAACAGTATTTTAACAAAATGCTTTCACAGGTTAATTTTTATTTTCAGCTGCATGTCTTAAGCTACAATTGGATGTATTAATAACGTCATCATTTTCGTGTACATGATGGCATCGATTTTTTTTTAAATTGAACAACATTTTTTTCTTCAAATTAAAAACGTAGGTACCATTATTTATGTATGTACCGAAATTTGAAATATGGCACACCGTTATAGGTAACTCGAAGGTAAAAGGGTAGTCAGAGACGTAGGTGAACAGGGGGTCGAACATTATTTTCAAAATAAGCTTGTGTGTCGCGTTATAACATTTTTAAAATAAATGCTTTCAAACATCTCTCCGTGAAGAGGTTGAGTGGTGTGTACACACTGGGTAATAAGTAGAGGGCGAAATATATGCATCAAAATATAACAAAATATTCGCATATATATGCATCGTTTTTACCAAAAATATGCAGTTATTTTGTCCAATTATGCCTAAATATGCAAATGCATATTTGTTAAAAATACTTAAAAAAAAGTAGGGGGTGGGTAGCTCAGTGGTTAGTGCGTTGGCCTGTGGACTTAGGGGTCCCGGGTTCAAATTCCAGCCGGGACGCGATTTTTTAAATTAATTAATTTATTTAAAAATTAATTCTGATGCCTAGCGAATATTTCCACTTGACCATTCACTGTTGAGTTCTAATTAACATTGCTGTTCCTAATTTGGTACGCTATCAAAGCCATTAAACGAAAAAAAAAAAAAAAAAAAAAAAAGAAAATATGTAATATAAAAATTTATTTAAAACAAACGAAACACAAAAACTAGTAGAAGTTAAGTATAGAATAGTATAAAAATATTAAATAGTAATATTATAATAGGAATTTATAATTAAATATTTTTCGAAATTTTCTATTAAAAATTTTTGTCTTTTGTCTGTAAAAATATGTTTTGATATAGAAAAGGTCCTTTCAACATCTACCGAAGTAATAGGACAATACCGTAATTTTGGAAGTAATGTACAGGGCCAACGTAAAACTTCTTTGGAAAATTTTCCCTCAAAAATGTTTTTCACTTCCCTTATTTCATTGAACCCTTCATTCTTTAATAAAGTTGTATTTAATTTTTTTCTAATCTTAAGGCCTATGTCACCAGGAACATTGTTATATTTATCGGAAACTGTTGCAATAAAATTTGTTGATTCGATTAAACTTAAATTTTTCTTTTCCAATGAAGTTATTACATCAGGTAAAAAACTAAAATTAACCTTTATAAACACAAGTTGCTTAGGCACAAGGGGATTTTTTAACAATTCTTTACTTTGCACTACACATTGTGAATTGTCTTCTATATCCAAAATTAAATCCTTAATTGCTTCAAAATTTTCTGCATAGAATATAGCTGCTTTAATCCATGTCCCCCATCGCGTAATTACGGGTTCCGGGGGCAAACACACCCCTACCATTCTCTCTTTATACAACTGCACTCTTAAAGGGGCTTTTAAAAATATTTTTTTCACATTCGAAATTAGCTTGTTAACCAAGAGATATTCTGTTCTCACAGTTTCTGCAACTAAGTTTATTCCATGCAGAAGACAAGTAACGTGGACCATATTTGGATAAAATATTTTTAAGTTTTGCCCTACTTTTATCATATATGGTGCTACGTCAGACAAAAACACTAAGAACTTCTCTGAGGGAATTTGAATTGGTAAAAAAAAATTCTGCTAGAGATTGTTGAATAAATCGGGTAACAGTTGTATTGTTAGTTTTTTCTAACTGTTTTGATGCAATTAAATAAGATGTACCTGGTTCATTTTCTTTTAAGGCTCCAATCATAAGATGTACCATATATCTTCCACAAGCATATGTGCTTTCATCAACAATGATGTAAAAATTGCTATCATCCAGTAAAACTTTAATTTCTTCTATTACATTTATATATATAGCATGTACATTTTTTTTTCTGAGTGTAGATTCGTCAGGAATGGTTTGATTGCAATATTTTTGTAAAAATTCTCTTAGATGTAGGTTTTGTAACTTCTTTAATTCCTTAATGGAATATTTGCCGCAACAAGAGTTTTGCACAAGTCCTGATTAAATACATCCTTGTCACTTTTTGTTTTGTCGGCGTTTTGAAATGACCTCACAACGCATTGCTGAACCGGTTGTGATTTCATTTTTTGCAATTTGGCTTTATGCAATGATGTTTTCACGTGTTGAACCACTTTGAACTTTTTTTCGCAAACCACTATTTTGGCACAAGCTTTACAAAAAACTTTATCCCCATTGATTTCCAACTCTGGAAAGTTAATAATCCACGAAGAAATTCTCGACATTTTAGGACACTTTTAAAACAACAAATTATTACAAGACTTTTCACTAGGCAAATAACGAGGATACTATCTCATTAGACTGAATGAAAAACATTCAAAATATTCCGATGTTAGGGTAGATTGGTTACAAGAAATTACTGAGAATTTTATATAAACCGTTTTATTGCATTGTAGGTAATACTTTATCTGTGTAAATACCATCTATTAACAATTACCTTAATGGGATTAATCTCTTAAGAAGGTAAAAACCCAGTGCATGCCACCCTCCAAGAACTAATTAACAAGAATTTACAAGAAGTGACACTTAAAAACAAATACAAAAATTTAAAAGGTCTTTATTTCAAATATATCTGTATAATCTGTTAAAACAGTTTTTGATTTGCACAGTATAGTAATACATTTTTTTTTCGAAAATATGCAATATTTACTTAAATTTTCTGAACTTTGGTAAAATATGCAATATTTTCTGAATTTTGGAAAAATATGCAATATTTTCTGAACTTTGGTAAAATATGCAAAAAATGCATATATATGCATTTTGCATATATTCCGCTCTCTAGTAATAAGAAATGAATCGAGAGTACTTAAAGTGTGTAAATTGAGTTTTATTAATAAAACTCTGTAATATTAGTCTAAGCGCTTTCAGCCTATTAGGCCATCATCAGAGACTTCGTCAAAAACTGTAGAAGTAGCATGAAACTTTATATTTAACTAAATTAAAAAGGACAGCAACAAACCGGTCCCTGTTCTCCACCATAACTTGAAGCTTAAATAGTAAGAAATAAAAGAACCACTCCTAAAAGGTGGTTGAATTTTAAGAAAACACGTGGGGGTTCATCCCAACAAGTAAAGTTGTACCATCCCAACTATTCAGAGGTTGAGAAAAAACTGTACTTCAACATGAATCCAGCTAACTTTTTCAAGTTGCTGCCGAGAGGCGGAGGCAAGTTGGGGCACAAGAAATCGTAATGTTGAAGTACAGTTTTTTCTTTACATCTGATTCCTATTTAGTAGTATCCCGTCACCTGAAAAATCCGTCAAATTTTTTGTAGAAAATACTTTCATATTTTTGAAAGAGTAAATATTTCGATTTTGAGAAGATTGTCAAAGGATTTTAGAATTGTTAGGTGGGAAATTTAAAAAAAGAGTGTTAAAAAATATTATATTGGAGTTAAGAAAGATAGATATTAAAATTAAAGATTTTATATCGCATAGATGAAATAAAAATAAAATAAAAAAAAAAGATAAAGCAAGTTTTATTTAAATTGAGGATAAGTGTGAATCGAATAGCAGGAATAATAACTTAGCAAAAAAGATAACTTAGCCGATAGGAGAGTTCAGCAGAAGAAGAAATAAAAGAAAGTAGAAGAAAGAGGAGACCAGGCAGGAAAATAGGGGCTAAAGAAAGCCATAAGTTAGAGCAGAAAGCAGAAGAAATAAGTGAAGCAAAATATTTAGAATTTTTTTCAAATTCAAAATTTGTCGATTAGTTATTTTTTGAAATTTTTGTAGAAAGCCAAAGGAGCCACAACCCTAAAAGCTCTAAGATCTTGGAATAGCTTAACCATTCCAGGCTGGAACCATATAATATACAGGGTGATTCATAACTATTGGGCAGGTTATTTGGATCAAAATATGGCGATAGAACCACATATGCCTCAATAAAATATTGCTGTGGAATAAGATATAGGGCGTTGAAGTTGAACAATAGACTATAATCTAGCAGCAAAAACAGTTCACT